GCAGCGTTAAACAGGCCGGGTTAAACCCAACACAGAGCCTCGGTCACTCAGCCGCACCGCCGCTGTTCTGCATACTGCCTGCTGGGAAAAAACACAGCTAAGTTTATTCTTTATCATAAATTAAAACTGACCATCTCCTGTATCCTCTTTGGGTATTTCAGAATCTGAGCTCCATCTAAACAGAGTTTTCTTTCTCTCAGTATCTGCTCAACCACTCATTTTCACACAGTGCTTGAAATGTGTTCTTTATTTCTAAGGGTGGAAATGTATATCAGCTTCTTCAGAATTAGAGCAAATTTACATTTAAAGAAAATTCATATTTGGAGAAAATTTAGATTGGAGAGAAAATTCAGATTAGAGCAAAGTTTGATTTAAAGCAAATTTATATTTAAAGACAATTCATATTTGGAGAAAATTTACATTGGAGAGAATATTCAGATTTAGAGCAAATTTTGATTTAGAGCAAATTCAGATTCAGGGTTCATAGTTAGAGCTAATTTGGATGTATTAGGGCAAATGTAAATTTATGACACAATGTGATTTAAAGAAAATTTAGATTTAGAGAAAATTTAGATTTAGAAACAATTCACAATTAGAGATTATTTAGATTTAAAACTAATTTAGATTTCGAGCAGATTTACATTTAGAGCAAATTTGGATTCATAACAAATTTTGATTTAGAGAAAATTTAAATTAGGAGAAAATTTAGAGAGAATTTAGATTTAAAGCGAATTTAGATTTAGAGCAAGCTTGGATTTATAACAAATTTGGATTTAGAGAAAATTTAGATTTGGAGAAAACTCATATTCCCACAGAACTGAGACTTAATGCTAATTTAGATTCAGAGCAGATTTAGGTTTAGAGTGAATTCAGATTTTGGTCAAATTTATGTTTACAGGCAAGTCACTTAAGCAATATATTTTTTTTACCTTTTATGTAATTATTTCTGCAATCATGTAATTAAATTTAAATACTTGTCTCATGTAAATGAAATGTAAAGCAAAACAACAATAGACCTCTACAGATTAAGTGCACTAAGGCCTTTTGACTACTTAACTGACTCTCTCAAATTTAAAATCTCAAATTTCACCATACAATTGTATTTGATTATTATGGCATTAATCCAAATTTTTAAATACTCTGAATATATGAATGTACCTGGAGGAACTGTTCACACTGTAATTAAATATAGACAATAACAAATATACAACAACTATAATTTTTGGAATTTTATGTTTATTTTTGCCCTAGATTGAGCACATGTATTAAGTACTATTGTGATCTGGTCTAACATTCCTGAATGTGATGTTAGAGTGTGCTGGTTGTGTAGAGGAGCTCAGGCTGCTCAGTGTTACCTATTTACCCTCTCAGCCTCCAAGCAGGACAGATAATGGAAACGCCTGCATGGTTTTGTCTGCCTCATTCAAATGTAAATTTCTTCTCCCTCCAATATGTCATCAAGTGGAGAGAGAGAGGAGCAGGGAGGGTCTGAAAAATGCAGCCTGAATTGAAATGTCAATAGTAATTTTTGGCATGCAGGAACCTTTGAAAGTCAAGGGCTACGTGGGGGAGGCAGAGAGAGAGAGAGAGAGAGAGAGAGAGTGAGAGAGAGAGAAGGGAGTGTGTGTGTGTGAGAGAGAGAGAGATAGTGAGAAAGAGAGAGAGAGTAAGAGAGAGAGAGCAGTCGTCCTCTGGGAGCCAATGTCTTTTTAATGGACATTCAGAAATACCAGAAGATTCCTCCTGCTTTAATGGGCTGATGAATGAGCGTTGTGGTGTCCATGTTCTTCTCTATGAGTAAATGCTGCTAAGCTCCACTGTAACTTTAAACTCAGCAACCAGAAGATCAGTTTGGAATTTGATAATGTTTTAATAAATTTTATGGAAAAAAAAATTAATTACCGGGTCGCTTTATTAATTTACTGTATCACTTTATGAAATTGCCGGGTCACTTTATTAATTTACTGGGTCATTTTATTAAATAACCGGGTCACTCTATTAAATTACCGGGTCACTTTATTAAATTACCAGGTCATTCTATTAAATTACTTGGTCACTTTATTAAATTACTGGGTCAATCTATTAAATAACCGGGTCGCTTTATTAAATTACCAGGTCACTTTATTAAATTACCGGGTCAGTTTATTAATTTAGTGGGTCACTTTATTAAATTACCGGGTCACTTTATTAAATTACCAGGTCACTCTATTAAATTACTGGGTCACTTTATTAAATTACTGGGTCACTCTATTAAATTACCGGGTCGCTTTATTAAATTACCAGGTCACTTTATTAATTTACTGGGTGATTTAATTGAGTAACTTCATCAAACAGACAGGTAAGTTTGGTGCTGGTTCACTTTAATACTAAAATAGGTTTAATTCTGATTTACATTCTCTATTATCAGAGTTCAGTCTGCACGTCTGACTCTGTTCAGATGATAATTAAATTTCTCCTCTTCTCACAGACAGAGAGAGAGAGAGAGAGAGAGAGAGAGAGAGAGAGAGAGAGAGAGAGAAACACAGGGCAGAGTGTAAGAGAAGAGCTGACAGGGGGGAGAGATGGAGCAAGAGAAGATGAAAGGGAGGAAACAGACAGTAGTCTGGATCAGGCCAAGGTCAAACCACTCACTCAAACTCCACACTGCTCTCTCTGTCTCTCTCTCTCTCTCTCTCTCTCTTTCTCTCCCTCTCTCAGCAGGAGTGAGATGTTCTACAGAAAGCAGACAACACATACAGACCTCATCTTCACAAAACCAATCAATATGGACCAAATCAGAGCCAGTGTAGCTCAGAATCTGTATGTTTTCAACTTCATCCACACTGGATCTCAGTCTGAGAGCTGTCATGATCATATCAGCCCCACAGAGAGATATCTTTGTGTACAGCAATTTTTTGTTTTAAAATACACTGTATAAATAAACTTGACAAGATTTAAAGCTCTATTAGTATGTTTTTGTGTCTAGACATGGTCTTTATCTCCTTCTCAGGTCATTATTCTCCCAGTCTGATGTTTAGAGAAGCTGTAAATCAGTTTGTGTAGAAATGTTAGTGACTTTGGTCTGAATGTTTTGTCTATCTTTTCTCTTTAGATAATTCACTTTCTCCTTTAACCCTTTAGCCTTCAGCTCCACGGCCTGCTGGGTCTTCCTGCAAATGTAACCATTAGCTAACAGAGCAGGCTGGAATCAGTAACTTAGCAGAGAAGGCCTCACCCTAAGGGTCTCTGCAGCAATAGAGTCTGGCTGCAGACCCCCTCTGACCCTGTTTGACCACATTATTGGTGCTGTTTGTTCACTGATCCACTGCAGCTGCTTCACATGTGAACATGTGAGGCTGGGCTGGTCAGTAGGGTTACAGTGCCTCCCAGTGGTAAGTTTGCAGCTCTACCAAACTAGGTGTAAACAAAGCAGATTAATTTTCTGTTTGGATGGAGCTGCTAATAAGAACAGGGACACAGAGCTTCAGTCAGCAACAGTGAACTCAAACACTGAGACACTCCGTCTGAATCTTTTCCTTCACTATTAGAGTCTTAGAGGAGCTGTGGATCAGAGTCAAGCATCCCACTGTTACAACGTTGTCTACTTTCTTATAACACTGCTAAAACATTGTCAAAAGGTGGTGCTGTTTATGTTGTCTCAACAAGTTCATCACAACGTTGTCACAACCTGATTATTACGTAACGTTGCCATACAGTGTTATGACTTCCTATTTGGCAACTCAGCAAAATTCCAATTCCATGCACAACATAATGGAACTAGGATTCTAGGAGGTTGTGACATCGTACTGACAACGTTGCCACTACATTGTCAGAATTTTGTCAGATAACGTTGCCACAATTTTCTAAGGAATTGCATTTCAGCATTGTGACTGCAATTCCTCAGAAGGTTGTGTTCTGCTGTGTTCTGCACCCCCAGGACCCCCTGATTAACCTCTTGGACCCACTGAAGGTCTCAAAATCAAAATTCTGGGGGTCTCTGAAAACAAACTCATTATGACGTTCTGCTGTCCGTTAGAAAAAAAAAGCGAAACTCATTGTTTGTCTGCTTCACCCACAATCAGCTTCTGTCTTTGGTGTTCTTAACTAACTAGAGCTGCAGCTCTGCTCTGCCTCAGGGTGGCGCTGTATAAGACCGGTTCACCCAGTTGGCCCTTCATAGCCACTGAAGCTATTATCAGCGCTGCTATGGTGAGTCAGCCAGTGCTGGAGTGCACTGCCCTGGACTTCTAGTGTTTTCCCTGCTCCCAACACACCTGATCCAACTAATCAGCTTATTAACAGCCCAATATTGGGTGGAAATGGGAGTGTACAAGCAAGAAAATACTAAAATGTGCAGGGCAGTGGGCCTTTGAACAAATTCATTCAGAGGGGTTAAACGCTTCAGGTGTCTGGTTCCTATTACCACCACTGTGAACAACTCTGTTTGCATCCTAGCCACTTAATTATGCAGACATATTTGAAACATTGGTGGAATTCCCCTTTAAGATTGTATTATACAGTGTCAGAAATCAAATAATCAAGTCTACACACTGACCATGTCTTGGCTGATCAACAACATTTCCAGCGCAACAGTAGTTTTTCTAGAGAATCTGATAGATGGATGTAGATTGTCAGGAATTTTTAACTGACCTGAAGAAACAAAGTTTTTGCACATCTTATAACAGAGCTGTACGAACTTAAACCATCCGTATTATTGTTTCTAATAAAGTGGCCAGTTAGTGGAAGTACAAGGTGGGTGTTTCTAATAAAGTGGCCAGTTATTGGAAGTGCAACGTGTTTGTTTCTAATAAAGTGGCCAGTTAGCGGAAGCATAAAGTGTGTGTTTCTAATAAAGTAGCGCCATTGCACTATGAATATGAAACTCACATCATATTATGTTACGGGATTCAAAAAGTGCTCTGAAAAACACAGACGATTTCTCCATCCCTCCTGTCTCCGCCCACCGCTCCAAACCCCGCCCACGCTTGACGAACGGACTGACGCAGACAGGAATCGGCCGATCAGAGCGGAGCGTGTGCTTCCGTCTCCAGGAAGTGGTGAAAGTACGGCAGCGAGTTTTGGGATTAAATTCGTACTAATTATTAAATGAATGATAAATTTGGTTAAACGGATATAAATTTGCAGGACTGATGGAGTGGGAGCAGGACGAGGCGGTGAGTATGCGCTGACTCTGCGCAGTTCAGCAGTAAATAAGATATTACTGAGTGTTAGCCGCTGAGCTAACGCTGATGCTGATGCTAATGCTAACTAGCTGCCTTAATGCTTATGCGAGATAAATATAGACTTTATTTTCTCTGATTAATTCTGTATTGTATTAAATCTAATAACAGACTTGTTTCACAGTGTGTTTAAGTTGTGTGTGATGTTACTGACGCTACAAAGCCAAGCTAAGTTAGTTTTATTTTTCGAATTGTCCGTTCCACCTTAAATAGCGCAGCAGTTACATTCTGGCGCCTGAGCCACCGCTATGTAACTGCTGCGCCATTTAAGGTGGAACGGACAATTAACCACCAACCTCAGCCAACCTCACAGTTTCTTTGTGGTTAACAGCCAACCTCAGTTTCGTTGTAGTTATTATCAGTGAGGTTTTTTATTCGCTCATAATAGTAAAACAGTAATATTTAGTAATATTCAAATATTGTAAACGCACGCTCTAGGCCAATTTATTACTATTAGATACTGTTGATTATAGTATTTATCATTGTGTGCTTGCTCTTCGGGGTAATAAATGATTTAATAGGTAAAAGACAGTCAGTTGCATGTAGAAAATAATGTATAAATCCACATGACGTTGTAATTTGTATATTTTTAGAACTATTTATTATCCTGATCATAATTATTATGGTTTGGATTTACTAAGCTTCAGTGACACACAAAAACCTGGGTGTAACTGCACAGATGATGTGATAAACACAGCATCTCAGAGAGAGAGAGATCACACTGACAGATGCAGTCATCAGTAATTTTTCACACTGTTATCTAGAAGCCCTTCTGTGAAGTATATGGGGCTGTGCATTTTGTGCATATTTTTATTTTTAGGGTTAGAAACCTCTGATCTCTGTTTGATTATATTAAATCTTATATATTAAATGATTCTATCTTTACAAAACAATCAAAATCTCAACCTTTCTCAACTCAGTTTGGTTTGACTACTATGGTGCAAAATAATGTTTAAAAATACACTGAATACACAAATGTAACTACACTGTAGTGAATACTGACAATACAAAACTTATACATTTCAGTTTAATTTTATGTTTGAAATAGCCAGAGACATTTTTTTTGCCCGTAAGAAATGACCAAATTCTTTATGGAGTATTATTATAATGAAGTATAATCAGTTATAACCAATTCCAGTGTTGATGCAATTTAATTCAGATCAGTGCATCACTAGGCATTTTGCACCCCTCATACATATTATTCAGGAATGTTATTTAAAACTTAGACTAATCAATTTTATTTTCAGCAGTGGGTGTTTGTTAACCTTGCTAACAGCCAAATCTTGATAATAACATATCAAAAGACCCATATTTTACTTTTTAAAATGTTACCTTTTATTTAATTTTAATTCTCACCCAAGGCTAATGAGGGTTGAAGTATCAAAAACAGCCCAACATTTAACATTTCTACATGATAATTTTCTGAACTCTCTTTTTCTCTTTCAATTAAACAGGCTGTTTTTGTTACTACACCTTTAAGTAAGCCTTTATGTAAATGAGCTTTTTACTGATTGACTGCCCTGTTGTGCCTCATCCAGAAAGCGGCCTGGGCTGAAACACTCCTTATAACTTCAGTGTGAGTGGGCAGGGCTAAACTGCTGTAGCCCAAGCAGGCGGATATATGTAAAAGCCTTAGTTTTTGTGACATCATAGAAACAGTAAATTCAAAATAGGCCGTTATTGCGGCTGCATCTGTATGTGTGCTGGAAATGTTTGTTCAGTGTTTACAAACCACATCACTATACTTTATTAAAAAAAATAAAGTGAGGAAAGTCAATTTTTCCATGATACAGGCCCTTTAATCAGCAGATGTCAGCAGCTGTCGGTTTGTGATTGGCTCATATTGAATGTGTTTCCTCTGCAGTGTCACTCTCATGGACACGGGCACATGAATGACGGCTGCCATGGACACGGTGGGCACTCCCACAGCCACGGGCCGGGGGGCATGGCGCACGGGTTCATGCCCGGTTTCCACGGGCAGTTCGTCCAAAGGAGTGACAGCATGCTGGACTCCACACAGCAGCCCAAAAAATACTTGCACATCGACGACAGCAGCAGCTGGGACATTGTCAAGGCCACGCAGTAAGATCTGCTTTATGGGTGTAGCGATTTCAGAGTCTTTAAACCTTCCTTACATGATAAAACCTTTAAAGCAGGTCTGTCGATCCTGCTCCTGGAGCTCTACCACTCTATAGAGTTTAGCTCCCCCCCTAATCCAGCACACCTGATCCAGGTAATCAAGGTCTTCAGGAGCACCTGGTGTGCCAGTGTGGGAGATCTCCAGTAGCAGAATTGGGCATCAGATCATTTGAAGAGCTTTTACTTTGAAGGCTTTTACTGTTTTTAGTCATTTGCATAAATTAAATTGTGTAATTAGGGAGGCACCAATCATGATTTTTTAAATATTTTTTTACAGTCAAATTGGCCTGTTTTTTGGCTGATACTAATTTTGGAAAAACACTGGCATTTCTATCAGCCAGGTGTGCAATATAAACAACATTGTTTACTCTTTAATGGGCAAAAGTGGCATGTAAAAATTTCAATTTTATATCAGTTGCCTGATTAAATAACATGGATGTAATAAAATGCTGTATTGAAATTGAGGCAACTGGCTGTTTATCACAGTGAGTCGTGTGTAATTCAATCAATCTTTATTTATTATTTACAGTTTAGCTGAGTATATTACAAAAAAAGGGACTGAAAAGAGTAAATGTACATTTTTGATAGTAAAAGTATAGCAAATAAAATATGACCGAGAAATTATAATTTACACGGTACAAAAAATAAAACGTTAAGATGAATAAGACAAATCAGGATAAACAATTAAAATTATTAAGCATATTAGTAATAAAAAATAAAAATCTGTAATAAATGTAAATAAATAAAGCTGCTGTGAGGTTAAGAACCTGTGCTTCGACATTGTGGTTCCAGTGTAACAGCAGCATTCAGATACAGGCCGATTCCTCTTACCTGCCTCACCTTATTCACCTCACACACCTGCAGCACAGATCAGATACATTCACACTAATAAACTGGCTGATTGCTGATTCCATATTTTGAGCAAAAATCTGCTGGTTCTGGTTCCTAAACTCCTTCATTCTTTTAAAGTCGTGATGCCCAGCCTAAATGACACTTTTTGTGTCTGTAACGACCAACTGGGAACAAGATCTAGAGAACATTCGGGAACAACTTTGGCATTCAGTATGCACTTCACAAACTTAAAAAGTTGTTTTTTCAAGAGTTTTTTTAGTAAAGAACATGGTTCTAAATGGGACCATGAACACTTCAAGAACCTTTTGCATAATTAAAGGGTTCTTTGCATGGTTCTATATAAAATCTTTTTGAAAAACGTTCTGTAAAGCACCAAAAAGTGTTCTTATGTTGTTACAAGCTTGATATCATAAAAGTAAAAGAACAGTTTTTGGTGCTATATAGTAAAGAAATGGTTCTACATAGAACCATGAACACTCAAAGAACCATTTGCATGATTAAAGTGTTGTTTGCATCATGAAATCTTTTCTTAACATTGATGGAGAATTTGTTGTAAATGGTTCTCTATAGAACTTTTTTTGAGAAGGGCTCGATATAGCATCAAAAAGGGTTCTGCCATTGTTATAATGTCAAACTTGTCACAATAGAAGAATCCTATTTGCAATATAGATGCAATATAGAACCTTTTTCTTTACTGACAAACCCTTGAAGAACCATGTGAGGGAGGAAAGTGCTGTCTGAAGCGTGGACCTATTGTTGTTTATTAATTTTAGCTGGACTCTACTTAACTGAGGCTTTGTTACCCCCCTCTGGCACAAATATGAACTGCCCTAAACATACTGTTTATTGTGCTGTGAAACAGAAATTTCTTGATATTAATTCACAAGATAATTTATTTCACGCCTCAGCTCTGGGGTTCAGATTCCTGCAGCCTGCGGTCTGAGAGCGGAGCTGAGCGGCGGCGCTGATATGTGCAGTTTAACCCTCTGCTGATTATTTCCAGTCTTTAAATGAGTTTACTGTACACACACGGATTATCTCCAGTGATCTCCAGGCCTCGTCTGACTCTGGTGTAAGTATGTGTGGAATTAGTCGGTTCTGCAGGTCCTGCTACTGAATGGCCACCGTGGGTGACGTTCACCTGAACACAAAGCTCCGATTGTGCAGAGGCAGTTAAGGCTGCTTTTCCAGTCTTTCAGCTGGAGCGTCACTCTTGATCTGATCCATTATCAGCGCTCACGCTTCCTCTGCAGGGTGTGACTGAGTGGAGCGCAGTCCTGTCTTAACCGAAACATCACAGCGCTTTTATGAATTTTTTTTCCTGCATGTAGTTTTCAAGTTTGAATTTAGAACCCGACCAATAGGAACACTTATTCACTATAACTGATTTCAAAATCAAAAAAAGCCAATGATATCCTCATAATAAAGGATATAGGTAGTGTGGGCACCTGAGCACATTAAGATGTAAGAAATAAAAAAAATTAAGATATAAGATATATTACAATAATAAAGATACAATTAAAAGACCTTTTACCTTGGCAATAAGTACATGTCTGCTTGTAAAATCACCACATACAGTGCCCTCAACAATTATTGGCACCCCTTGTTAAGATGTGTTAAACGCCTTAAAATAAATTCAATTTTTATTTCAGAAGCATAATCTCACACTGAAAATTGTAGAAAAATGTAACCTTTAACTCAAGTGAATTAAAAAAAAATCCCTGACTAAGAAATCATTATTTTTCATAAAATCACCTGGTCCACAATTATTGGCACCCCTAAAAATTCCTAGAAAATAAATGTAATTGAAGCATTTCTGTCATTTCTGCTGTAGTTTCTAAAGTTGATCAGAGTATCTAGGAACCTTTAATAAGTAATTCATCACTTCCTGTTTCCTTGGGGTATAAATATGACATGACACAGAGGCCTATTTTTCTTATCCACTCTTCAACATGGGAAAGAGAAGAGAACACACCATTCAAGTAAGGGAGATGTGTGTCGACCTTCATAAGTCAGGCAATGGCTACAAGAAAATAGCCACTTGCCTACACCTGCCCATATCTACAGTCAGAGGCATCATGAAGAAGTTTAAAACAACTGGAACAGTGGCAAACAAGCCTGGATGAGGACGCAAGTTTATCTTGCCACCACGCACAGTGAGGAGGATGGTAAAAGAAGTAAAAAGTTCTCCAAAGCTCACTGTTAGAGAATTGCATCAAAGAGTAGCATCTTGGGGTCACAGAGTCTCCATAACAACCATCAGACACTATCTACATGCCAACAAGCTGTTTGGGAGGCATGCACGGAAAAAGCCTTTTCTCACTTACAAGCATAAATGTAAACGCCTGGAGTTCACTAAGCAGTAGTGGGACTTCAACTGGGACCGTGTGCTTTGGTCAGATGAGACCAAGATAGAGCTTTTTGGCAACAAACACTCTAAGTGGGTCTGACATAACACAAAAGATGAGTTTGCGGAAAAGCACATCATGCCCACTGTGAAGTATGGGGGAGAATCGGTGATGCTGTGGGCCTGTTTCTCTTCGAAAGGCCCCGGGAACCTTGTTAGGGTGCATGGCATCATGAACTCTTTGAAATACCAGGACATTTTAAATCCAAATCTGGTGGCCTCTGCCCGAAAGCTGAAGATAGGTTGTCACTGGGTCTTTCAGCAAGATAATGACCCTAAACATGTGGCCAAATCTACACAAAAATGGTTCACCAGACACAAAATCAAGCTCCTCCCGTGGCCATCTCAGTCCCCAGACCTCAACCCAATTGAAAACCTGTGGGGTGAGCTGAAGAGGAGAGTGCATAGGAGAGGACCCAGGACTCTGGACGATTTAGTGAGATTGTGCAAAGAGGAATGGTCGAAGATCCCTCTCTCTGTATTCTCCCATCTTGTGAAATGTTATAGGAGAAGATTAAGTGCTGTCTTGTTGGCAAAAGGGGGTTGTACAAAGTATTAACGTCAGGGGTGCCAATAATTGTGGCACAGATGATTTCATGTAAAAGAATTATTTCTTAATGTGGGATTTTTTTCCCACTGAATAAATGCACTTGAATTAAAGGTTGGATTTTTCTCTTTTATTGCATTGTTGTCCTATATTATTTAAAAAAAAAAAAGAATTTATTAGAAGCCTAAGAACACATCTTAACAAGGGGTGCCAATAATTGTTGAGGGCGCAGTATAATTACAATTAATTATTATAAATTTAATTCACATTGACTGATTTTTGTGGAGGAACAGAAGAATGGAACTGAAAATGAAGCTGACGTGCTTGAGAGCTCCAGCCTCAAAGTCACTCACTGCAGTAAAAAACAAACTAAAATGACAGCAAGAGTCAGAGATCACTTTAGAAATCTATGAGTCAGGAGGAAATGAACTCCATTCTAGACTCTGTTACTCTGTGTTAAGTTACTCGCACAGTTATTATTAATCTTGAGAGTGTTTTCCTTTCAGGGGAGACCAAGATCATGACTGTAGCCCAAAGTTTTTGGGAATAGGGCCCCTTTCACTTTGGGGATAGCATTACAGGCAGAAACTTGGAATAAAGGGGTGACAGTTAAGAGGTTTTAACCAGTGACAACTGAGTACTACTGTTAGAGCTGATCAGAGTAACAGTGAGAAACAGATCTGAGAGAATCAGTCAGTGTTACAGTAAAACCAGTAGAATCACTGCTGTTAGAAAAGAATCACAGAAAGGATGAGAATTAAATCCTGTACAGTCACATAAACATGTAGCTACCAGAACAGCCTGTTTTGAATTCATTGTTTCCATGATGTCGCAAAAACCAATGCATTTATGTGTATCTGTCTGTTTAGGCTACAGCAGTTTAGCCCCGCCCACTCACACTGACGTTATAAGGAGTGTTTTACAATACAGGGCCAATCAGAAGAGAGCTCATTTACATATATCAGGCTTAAAGGCACAGTAACCAAGTAAAAGATCCTCAAATGATCTGATGCCCAAATTAATACTACTAATAATAATATTAATAAAAACATTAATAACACATGACTTTTATATAGCACTTTTCAAAAACCGAAATATTCCTAAATCATGTCAAACTTTAAAGTGGGGTGGTCAGTCCTGGTCTTGAATGTGCGTACTGCTTAAAATCAAGAGCTCCAACTTCATACACCTGTCCGAACCAAGACTGTGTTGAGTCAAGTAGGTGAAGCAATGGCTCTGATCAAATAGTTCAAGCCTGTGCAGCAGCAGCATCATCAGGGTCAGTTCATGCAGGTGAACTTTACACAGTGTCGTGGTGGGTTGCCGTCGGCTTCAGCAGACGAAACAGTCTGAGAACACGTTATTCACGTCCTGTTGTGAAGCCTCACTGAGGAACTGCAGTCACTTGTTTTCCCATTTGCCTTAACTCCATGGCCAGGGTCCACCGGCGGGCCCAAAGTTTTATTACACACCTCTTTGGCCTAAGAATAGGTCAGCCAGTATGCACTGAAGTCGAGTAGTTACTGAATAATAGGCCTTAGTATGTAATAAGCCTGGGATTTTAAGGGGTTAAATAATGTGTCTCCTGATTTGTAGCTCAGTGTTTTAATGCTGCTGAAATGGCTGTAAGTCTGCTGAAGTGAAGGTGCTGTCTTTTACACTCAGTTGAGCTGACTGTTGATTGAGTGTCAGTTTCCTGGTTCTGAGTGGAGATGTGTAGGTTTAGAGAACGTTAGGGTGTGCCTCAGTGATGGGGTTAAAGAACAGTTTAGCTCAAACTTGGATACACCTTACCTGTATAGAGCAGCTTTATCTCAGTTCTGACCTTTCTGCACACTCTCAAAACAGATTAGCTAAAGATTTGTTTAAAATAATCTGTAATGTCAGCATGTATCGCAGGCAGGGTGTTCAGAGCTTAAATACAAGGATGTGTTCTAAACACACACTCAGACATGCTGTGTTGTTTTGGACTAAAAATGCGGATGCAGTTCAGTTTATCAGTTGATTTCATTTACCAGGTTCACAGTGCAAACGTCAAACACCAATTAACCAATTTTTCAAAATTCCTCCATTTGAGATGTAAACAGAGTCATTCAGAGCGGTTTGGTGTGAAATGGTTGATTGTAGAAACAACGCAGGACTGTTCTATATAGCACCAAAATAGGTTCTGCTATTGTTACAAAGTCAAGCTTGTAACAGTACAAGAAACCTTTTTGTTGCTACATAGAACCATATACAACACATTCTCCATCAGTCTGAAGAACCATTTCACCTACAGAGAACCATTTAAGCATGCAAACAGTTCTTTGAATTCATGGTTCTATATATAAGCATTGTTTTTACAAAAGAGCCATATTTTTTAAGAGTGTACTTAAAACAAGTAAGAAAAACATCTAGAAATAAGTTCTAATAAAGAATCTCAAGGTGAGAAATAATACACATTTAGACTAGATGTAAGATGCTAAGATATCATTTTTCGCAGTGTACAGTAGTCCTGGGCAATGGGGTGGCTTTGCCTCACAGATGCCCCTTAATTTAAGTAAAGGGAATCAGTGACGAGAAGTCAGGAAATAAAAACCTGTGTTCTCCTAACCTACATACACATAACTTTACTGAAAACAACACGTTCTGGCTGCAGTATTTATTTATTTGTGTCTTTTCTGATGATATATAGAGTTTTTACTGACAAAAACACATTTACTGCAAAGCTAAACTGTTTTAAAGAATATTCACAGCTGTCTAAGACTTCCACACAGTGCTGTGGATCCCAAATCAGTGAACCTGGACTGAAATGTTGTGCTGGAAGCTGGTTGACTATTATATATATCTGTTATATATTTTGCATTTATGATGAAGTAGCACTGGCCTCTTTTCTATATTTTCTAATACAGTATGAATGTAGGGGGCACTATGACGATATTATTATTATTGTGATAAATTGCTTTGCAATATGCTTTTCTGAGCATGTTGTGTATATAGTACTTCTAGAATGTGAACTTCTACATGTCTCATTACAATATATATCTATATCTATGTATCCACTTACTATATAGGTGCACTTTGTAGTTCAGTTCTACAGTTACAGACTGTAATCCATCTGTTTCTCTGCATACTTTGTTAGCCTTTGTTTGTAACCCTTTTACCCTGTTCTTCAGTGGTCAGGACCCCCATGGACACTCACAGAACATGTACTATTTGGGTGGTGGATTATTCTCAGCACTGCAGTAACACTGACGTGGTGGTGGTGTGTTAGTATGTGTTGTGCTGGTGTGAGTGGATCAGACACAGCAGTGCAGTTTTTAAATACTTTGTACACTCACTGTCCACTCTGTTAGACACTCCTACCTTGTCAGTCCACCTTGTAGATGTAAAGTCAGAGACAGTAGCTCATCTGCTGCTGCACAGTTTGTGTTGGTCATCCTCTAGTCCTTAATTAGCGGTCACAGGACGCTGTTGGCTGAATATTTTTGGTTGGTAGACTATTCTCAGTCCAGCAGTGACACTGAAGTGTTTAAAAACTCCAGCAGCACTGCTGTGTCTGATCCGCTCAGACCAGCGCAACACACTAACACACCACCACCACATCAGTGTTACTGCAGTGCTGAGAATGATCCACCACCCAAATAGTACCTGTTCTGTGAGGATCTGTGGGGGTCCTGACCACTGAAGAACAGGGTAAAAGGCGGCTAATAAAGTATGCAGAGGAACAGATGGACTACAGTCTGTAATTGTAGAACTACAGAGTGCACCTATATAGTAAATGGAGCTGATAAAATGGACAATGAGCATAGAAACAAGGATTATCATGTCATAATGTTATGTCATAATGTTATGCCTGATCGGTGTGTATATATATCACACACACACACACACACACAATTAGTCCTGTTTGGATTAAGTGCGGCGCAGTGAGTGAAATGTTGAATATAAATCATTAAAAAGTCTGTTTTTATTAATATTTTTAAAATATAGCGCTGCTGGGTCTTCATTGTCGATTCCGCTCATCAGATCAGTGTGTGACGTATCATGTATAGTGCATACATGTATATTTCTTGAAGTATCGTGATATTGTGTTTTTGCCATATCGCCCTTCTCTGTGTGAATAAATACAGACAGGATATTCCAGCTGTCTTCAAATCAGACACCAGCTGAAATGTTTTCCTCTTATTGTGCAAATACGCACTCCTCACGAAGTCTGTGTGCTGTGTTTGCAGGTTTGGAGCGCTGGAGCGGTGTAAAGAGCTGGTGGAAGCTGGTTATGATGTCCGGCAGCCGGATAAAGAGAACGTTACTCTTCTGCACTGGGCCGCGATTAATAACAGAGCAGATCTCGTCAAGTAAGAGATTCCTCTCTCCACAGTCCTGCTGCTCCCTCCGGGTCAGGTGCAGGGCTTCTAACTGCTGTAGGTTGGAGACCTTGGAGCTAAAGTTATTGAGTCTTTGCTGTTTTATGTTGTAGCCGTGTTCATTTGTTGTTTATCTACAGCTCAGATGATGTATTGAAGTCATACTGAAGCGTGCTTGTGTTCTGTTTCTCTCCAGGTATTACATTGCCAAAGGTGCGGTGGTTGACCAGCTGGGCGGAGACCTGAACTCCACCCCAGTCCAATGGGCTATAAGGTCAGTATCTGTATCACAGCTGAGTTATTCGTATTACATGCTGAATAATTTGTAGTAGTTGCTGAATAATTCATAGTAGACGCTGAATAATTCGTAGTAGATGCTGAATAATTTATAGTAGACACTGAAGAATTTATAGTAGGTGCTGAATAATTTATAGTAGATGCTGAATAATTCATAGTAGATGCTGAATAATTCGCAGTAGACGCTGAATAATTCGCAGTAGATGCTGAATAGTTTGTGGTAGATGCTGAATAATTTGTAGTTGACGCTGAATAATTTATAGTAGATGTTGAATAATTCATAATTCACAGTAGCTGCTCTGTTTATCCTGTAGACAGGGTCACCTGCAGATGGTGATCCAGCTGATGCGTTATGGTGCTGACCCCTCATTGGCTGATGGGGAGGGTTACCGTGGTCTGCACCTCGCTGTGCTCTTCCAGCACATGCCTATAGCAGCGTACCTGATGGCCAAGGGACAGGTGAGAGACACGCACGCACACACACACACACACACACACACACTGTTAGAAGTAAAGGTTCTGTGCAGGTACATTTTTCGTTCATTAAGGTACAAACAGTGTAAATGTTCCCTCAAAGGTACAACAGTGGTTTTAAGGTCCAATTGTAAATTGTGAAGTTTTTCCAGGTCAAAGTATGTTTTTGTACCTTTTCATAACCTAATGACGGGGTGTGTGGAGTCAGTACAACTTAGAAAATATCATTTCAATAGATTATGGTACAGTTATGTTCTCTGACAAAAGGTACTGAGGGTTGAGGGTAAAAACCCAGTGACAAGAGGGGCACTGCCCCAGTGACAGTTTACTACCTTTATTTCTGAGAGTGCACACACACGCACACACACACATACTCACTAAACACATTTTAAGCAATTTTAAGGATGTTAATATGACTGATGGTTCATAATCCTGCTTCATTCTTATTATTTTTGGTTCACTATTAGCAATAGTATCATTATGGGGTAGTTTCTTCTAATCAAAGTAGGGGTCTACAGTAATATAGCACTTAGAGTCATTATTAAAGAAGTTTTTATATGAGTGTGAATTTTAAAATCCTCCCTGTTGAAGATACTGAAAGGCTGTGTGGTGTGTGTGCTGTTACAGGAAGTGGATGTCCCAGACTCAAACGGACAGACGTCGTTGATGCTGGCTGCACAGAAGATCATTGGGTAAATAAATAGAACTCTTAATGTTATCTTATGTTACGTGAAAACCAACTGTACTTATCTCCATGCTGCTCTACTCTCACACGCTGTGTGTTTGTTTCCCGTTTTCCAGGCCGGAGCCGACCAACTTCCTGTTGAAGTGTAACGCATCAGTAAACGCGGTGGATAAAGTGAACAGGAACTCTCCACTGCACTGTGCCGTGCTGGCGGGAAACGTGGACGCAGTGCACATCCTGCTGGAGGCCGGAGCCAGCGTGGATCTGCAGAACGCTAATGTGTGTCCGTCTGCCTGTCTGTTTATCTGACTGTCTGTCTGACCATTTCTGTCTGTCTGATTGGCTGACTACTCATATTAATCTATCTATCTATCTGTCTATCTCTCTGTCTATCTGTCTGTCTGCCCATCTGTCTATCTGTCTGTCTGTCTTGTTTATTTGTCTGTCTGTCTATCTATCTATCTATCTATATATATATATATATATATATAAAATTTCTCCTGTCTGTCTCTGTTTCTGTTTCTGTTGTCTGTTTATCAGTCTGTCTATCTGTCTGTCTGTCTTGTCTATCTGTGTGTCTACCGTTTTTTGATCTGTCTGTCTTTGTATATATCAGTCTATCTATTTTTTGAAGCTGATATTATGCAGATGTATCCCTGCTAATACGTGTGTGTGTGTGTGTGTGTGTGTGTTTGTGTGTCTTTACAGGGTCACACACCTATAGACCTTGCCCACCAGGTGCATAGCCCCCTCCTGATCCACATGCTGAACGTGGTGCAGAAAGAGCGCATCAAATCTAACTCCCCTTGTCTGAGAGTGCTCAACAAATACCGGGTATATACGCTCCTTCGCTCGCTTTCTCTCTCTCTCTCTCTCTCTCTCTTTTTCTCTCTCTCTCTCTCTCTCTCTCGCTCCGCTAGCTGTAATGATGTTATAATGTGCAGCAGCTGTTTTAATTCTCTGAGGAATATTTAACCTTAAGTTAAAAACTGAAGGTGCAGGTTTTCTCTGAGTGTTTACTGAACTCTGGAGTCTCGTTAGCTGAATAAGCATCTCACTCACTCTCTGACCTTCACTCACAACCGTGACTGTTTCTTTGGAGCTACAACGCAGTGTTTGTTAATCCTGATTGTGATATTGACCTTCGCAATACTGATATCACAGAAGGATGCTATATGCAAATGAGCCAATAACCAATTACAGTCTTAGAAGCTAGACTTCTGCCTATCTTTAGAGAGTCTGGGGGTTTTGTTGCTCATGGCGGCCCAGGACCACCTACTGTAATAAAATAAAGTGCTACAACAAAAACACCTGCAGGAAACAAATTGGTTTATCGCCAGCAAACACACAAAGATATGTAGTTTACTTGCTTCTCAATTTTTCACAGAAAACTGTTGACTGACTTTTAAAGGTGTGATGGCATGATCTGTGTATGACTATTAAAACCAGTGACTGTATCTCACTGTAAATTAATCGTCCGAGTGCAGCATGTGTAGCTGTTTACAACATTATGTTTCCAGAAGTGCATACACACAGACGTACAGACAGCTACTCAGAATGGTTCTATATAGCACCTATAAGGGTTCATAACAATAGAAGAACCATTTGGTGCTATATAGAACCATTTAAAAAAAGGTTCTATATAGAACCATCTACAGCACATTCTCCATCAATCTGAAGAACGCTTTCATAATGCAAAGAACCATTTAAATATGCAAATGGTTCTTTAAGTATTCATGGTTCTATATAGAACCATTTTCTTTACTAAAGGACCCTTGCAAAACCATCTTTTTTATTTAGTGTTGCCTATGTTTGAACTTAGTCACAGCTGGTGTAACCAGCCACTGATCTGTATGGTGCAGCTGTAGTGTGAGTTTATTGAAATTGCAGTCCTGTGTTTAGTGTGTGTGTTTAACTGTGTGTGTGTGTGTGTGTGTGTGTGTGTGTGTGTGTGTGTGTGTGTGTGTGTCAGGTGTGTGTGCAGTGTGTGTTCAGCGTGTGTGTGCTGTGGGCAGTGGGAGCTGTGTTAGATATGAACTCTGAGTCGTGGCTGCTGAAGGGTGTGCTGCTGGCATGTATCCTCGCCGTCATCAACCTCACCTGCAGGTACGTTACATTTTTTTGCATGAAAACATTTCATAATCATTATTATTATGAACTATTTAGTAGTTGTATCATCCTGTCGTTCAGTCTTGCAATCTTCCTTCCTTTCTTTAATGCTTAGTTAATCATACATTAATTACATGGTCAGAATATGCTTAAAGCATTAATAATCATTAATTGGACCCGTTTATGACTCTTTTAAAGATGCACCACATATTGTCCATTGTATCAGCTCCACTGACCGTATAGTTTCACTTTGTAGTTCTACAGTTACAGACTGTAGTACATCTGTACTACATACTTTGTTACCCTGTTCTTCAATGGTCAGAACCCCCACAGGACCCCCACAGAGAAGGTATGATTTGGGTGGTGGGTCATTCTTAGCACTGCAGTGACACTGACTTGGTGGTGTGTGTTAGTGTGTGTTGTGCTGGTGCGGGTGGATCAGACACAGCAGTGCTGCTGGAGTTTTTAAACACTGTGTCCACTCACTGTCCACTCTATTAGACACTCCTTCCCTGTTGGTCCACCTTATAGATGTAAAGTCAGAGACAATAGCTCATCTGCTGCTGCACAGTTTGTGTTGGTCATCCTCTAGTCCTTCATCAGTGGTCACACGACGCTGCCCTCAGGACGCTGTTGGCTGAATGTTTTTGGTTGGTAGACTGTTCTCAGTCCAGTAGCAATACTGAGGTGTTTAAAATTCTAGCAGCGCTGCTATGTCTGATCCACTTGCACCAGGACAACACACACTAACACACCATCAGTGTCACAGCAGTGCTCAGAATGACCCACCACCCAAATAATACCTGCTCTGTGGTGGTCTTGTGGGGGTACTGACCATGGAAGGACAGGGTAACAAAGTATGCAGAGAAACAGATGGACTATAGTCTGTAACTGTAGAACTACAAAGAGAAACTATGTGGTCAACGGAGCTGATAAAATGGACAGTGAGTGTAGAAACAAGGAGGTGGTTTTAATGTTATAGCTGAGCAGCGTCTATCGTACTACTTAATACACTTAAATATATATTTGTACATTTATGAGAAGCATTTACAGTGTTTCAGTCATTTGTATGTTACTCAGTAAATGGTTAGTAATTTAACTTTCATTAACAAACTATTCGAAAATGATTAGGTTGCTGTTTATATAGGGGCCTGTTTTTATCCACAGGTTAGTTATTGCTATTAATCTGGCACATTCACTTATATAATCACAGTTAATTCTTAACCCTGTTCTACAAACAGTTTGTTTGGCTGTTTGGTTACACGAAAAGTTAGAGGGAAGTTAAAGGCAAATGTACGATGAAAACTTCAGGTGCAGTTTTATTCACCACCACAAGATGGCACTGTGTGCATTGTTATTAAAGGCATGTACTAATGCCTGAGTGCATTGATCAAAAGAATTGAGCTTAATTAAGTTGCTTGTTTCGCTTTGGCCGCAAGAAAAGTGACGTTTAAGTTCCGTTTGTGAGTGGTCTGTATGTTTGTGTGTGTGTAGGCGGTTGGCAACCGCAGCAGTTCAGGCCCTGATTCCCTCCACAGCTCTCATCGCCTCTATATTCTGGATGCTGGTCACTTGGTGTTTCTGGTTTCTGCCTGATATCCTTTACCGGCAAACTCTGCACATTTATTTTAAGGATGAACAAACTAGTCTCATGGTGTGAGTTGCATGCAACATTAGCAACTCAACAGCAAATATTTACACAATATATTCAGTTACTTCACTTAGCCTGACTAGCAGCTTGTATTTTTTAGTCCATTGTCTCGCTCTCGCTACATAAAGTCATCTGTGACCTGCAAATTTGCAGCTTTTTTATTGTGTTTTTGTATAACTTTTAAAGCTGTCACTGGCATCCTTTATTTTTTTAGTTGTCTATGACCTTTACTGTATATTTGAGCTTTTTGTTCTGTGTATAATGAATAACTTGCCTTAAATGTAGGTATTGTGATATAAATTGTGATATAAAAAGAGTCTGTTTTACAGTTTCTCATTAGGTTGAATGAATTACTGACTCTAAATGTAGGTATTGTGATATAAACTGAGTCTGTTCTACAGTTTCTCATTAGGTTGAATGAATAACTGGCTCTGAATGTAGGTATTGTGATATAAACTGAGTCTGTTCTACAGTTTCTCATTAGGTTGAATGAATAACTGGCTCTGAATGTAGGTATTGTGATGCTGTAGATATTGTGTTACTTCACTTAGCCTGACTAGCAGCTTGTATTTATTAGTCCATCGTCTTGCTCTCGCTATATAAAGTTATCTGTGACCTGCAAATTTGCAGCTTTTTTATTGTGTTTATGTATAATTTTTAAAGCTGTCACTGGCATCCTTTATTTTTTTAGTTGTCTATGACCTTTACTGTATATTTGAGCTTTTTGTTCTGTTCTACAGTTTCTCATTAGGTTGAATGAATAACTGACTCTAAATGTAGGTATTGTGATATAAACTGAGTCTGTTCTACAGTTTCTCATTAGGTTGAATCAATTACTGGCTCTAAATGTAGGTATTATGATATAAACTGAGTCTGTTCTACAGTTTCTCATTAGGCTGAATGAAGAACTGGCTTTAAATGTAGGTATTGTGATATAAACTGAGTCTGTTCTACAGTTTCTCATTAGGTTGAATGAATAACTGCCTCTGAATGTAGTTATTGTGATATAAACTGAGTCTTGTGTTGGTTGTGAATGGGATTTTTACGAGCTTGTCTCTTAGTTATCCTGCTTAACCTCACTGCCCACATGGTCCCAGTGCTTCAGTGCAGGTTTTGTTCACCCTCACTGTGACGTCTCTGCTGTATTATTTCTTCCGAACATGCCGGACAGACCCCGGGGTCATCAGGGCGACGGAGGAGGAGAAGAAGAAGGTAAAAGAAGTCAAAGTATGTTTATATAGCGCTTTTTACAACAGGCATCACAAAGCAGCTTTACAGAAAATTCTGGACCTGAGCCCCCATGAGCATCACCAAGAAAAACTCCCTGAGAGCAAGAGAGGAACCTTGAGAGGAACCAAGACTTAAAAGGGGAATCCATCCTCCTCTGGTCCACACTGGGTAGCAAACAATAACACAGGAGCAAAATGAGGATTAGGTTTTACAACCTATACATTAATGAACTACGTTAACTGGAACATTGAATGTAGATGTAGAGAAAAGGAAAAAAATAAAATAGAAACTAAACTGCTGTCACTTTATTAATCTGAATGTTTCTGATTGGTTCCTCTTTGAACTGGAGTGTGTAGGGCTGTAAAAAACTCATTTACTGCCGGTTCGAAAGAATGTCATTAATTTTTTTTTTATGTAAAATATAAATCAGTAAATCATAGTTCTGTTCTTTACTCATAGATTAATTACCTCATTTGTAGCCCGATTAACCCTCTGGGGTCTGAGGGCATTTTCATGATTTTTGCATATATTTTTAAATTTGCATTTAAAGGCTCTTGTATACAACATGATGCCCACATATTATATATCAAAAGTATATATCAAAATATTGTTCAGAACAGTCTCAGTTCTCTCTACAGTGAGGCGCTTTTGACCAGGAGCACTGTGTACAGAGATATTTTTTCAGATAAAGCTGAAAAAAAGGAATCTAGTTTTAGAAATTCTTAACATTTCTTGTGAAAACTTCATCAAGTGGATGAATTGTTTTGCTGCTTAAAATTGTGTTTATTGAAGTCTTAGGTACAGAAAAGTAGTGGAATGTATGAATAAAAGCTGTAAACTCTCTGCACGCCATTTCATGTGTCTGTTGGACTGAATAAAGGGTTTCCGGCGTCAGTCCTTAGTGATTTCCTGAGTGTCCATTGGTGAGTTTCACACAGAATGTAGACGGACACATGAATCCACCAGTTCCACACGGTGAGAGGCATAGTATGTGTATCTCAGCCCCTCTTCATAGCCTCATAACTCCGGATGTGAGTCACATCAAGATAAGATGGAATGGAAAGGGCGACTCTACAGATTCAGGAAGTGTTTGAACTGGATTTCTGAGCTGGATTGTCACAAAGATATTGATAGGAATACAGAGAAACATCGAAGTTGACACACCGGCACGTTCATCGACCCTAGAGGGATAACCGTATACTACAACCACAACTTCTACTGAACTGTGCGCTTATTATGTTTATTTCACAAAGTTTAAATCCATGCTAGCATTGTGTTTGGGTTAGGGACTGTGTCAAAATTACAGACAAAAGTGTTGCTATTAAGATTATTTCTAATTATTGCGCTGTGTTTAAAGTAAGTGTTAAGAGTGTGATGTTTTCTGATTAAGAGAGTTCCTTTACCGTCACAGACATATAGTGTGATTTTGATTGGTTGTTATTTTGCCTATAGAACATTGTGGTTTTGGCTGAAGCAGGTTGTCTGGACCCCAGAATTTTCTGCACGTCATGTATGGTGAGTTACTAATGTAGATTTTTAAGATGCTTTATCGTTTTCATTAATAACTTTTTGTCCCTCACATATAAAAATCAAGCCACATATGTTGTATGTCTGGTTTCTTCAAACAGAAATATTGTACTTTAGAGCAGACCTACGATTATCTATGTCTCTCTCTTAATGCCACAGCCATCACTCAAAGTTTTGTCTATGTAATACGCGATTTCTTCTTCCTGTAGTGTATTACAGTCTGTCAGAATGACTGCGTGGATCATATGAACATTATAGAGCGCTTTTTAAATGAAACAATAGAAGCCATATCGTCCCCTACACTTCCTGTAGTGTATTACAGTCTGTCAGAATGACTGGATCATATGAACATTACAGAGCACTTTTTAAATGAAACAATAGAAGCCATATCGCCCCCTACACTTCCTGTAGTGTATTACAGTCTGTCAGAAGATGCTTTTTTCAAGTAAACAGTAAATCAGAATCAGTGTTATCAACTTAATTGACTTATATCCATGATGATTCGTACAGCTGTGTTTCTCTGTATCTCTGTTGCTGTATGTAAATACCTATTTGGTGTATATTGTGTATTTTGTGTGTAGATGAGGAAGCCGATGAGAGCTCATCACTGTTTCATCTGTAACGCCTGCATCGCCAAACAGGACCACCACTCCATCTGGATCAACGGCTGCATCGGTAACCATCAGAATCAGAACACATTCACTCTCACTCTCGTGCTCTCTCTCTCTCTCTCTTTTTCTCTCTCTCTATCTCTGTCTGTCTCTCTCTCTCTTTCTTCACCTTCTCATTTGTTTTTCTCTCATTCTCTCCTCATAGGTGCGAGGAACCATCAGTTTTTTGTCCTCTTCCTCATAACTCTGAATCTGCTGGGAGTCTGGATGTTTTACGGCAGTATTAAGTGTAAGTCACAGATATTGCTAATTAACAGCTAAACTGAGAACCTGAGTGTCCAATTTATTTGACATTCCTTACTTCATAGCTACACCAAGTGGCCACTTTATTAGACACACCCACCTTGTGCTTCCACTAACTGGCCACTTTATTAGAAACACCCACCTTGTGCTTCCACTCACTGGCCACTTTATTAGAAACACCCACCTTATGCTTCCACTAACTGGCCACTTTATTAGAAACACCCACCTAACTGGCCAGTCAGGTATATGTTAAGATTCAAATAAAACATAGGAAATGTCTTTTACACGCTTTATTCCATAACAGCTAAAAAAATGTTCATGTGAATCAGCGTTAACTTAGCACTAACATGTTATTAGAAATCCCTTGCAGAAACTAGCATTATTGTAGAGGTTTTTTTCTTTTTTTTTTTTTTTAAACATTGTGTTTATATGAATGTCTCTCTCTCTCTCTCCTCTCTCTCTCTCTCTCTCACACTCTCTCGCTCTCTCTCTCGCTCTCTCGCTCTCTCTCTCTCTAGACTGGTCGAATCACTGCATGGCCAAGTCTTCAGAGCAGAATCTGTGGGGTTTTGTGACGGGGCTGGTTGGATGTTCTCCCTGGGTGCTCTACATTTTCTGCATGACGTTCTTCCATGTGACCTGGGCCTCCATCCTACTCACTCACCAGCTTTACCAGGTCAGCTCAGATCACCACAGCGGTCAGTTCACATGTCACTCTGCTGGGAGAGACAGTAAAGTACAGAGTGTCTGTAGTTCTGTGTTCACAACTTTGCATTGAAAAAAACATAAATCCGCACCTCATAGTGGTGCACGGCAAACAGCGGCATAAAGCTACGCAAGTGTTGCTGTGGTGACAGTGTTACTAGTGTAAAGGATTATCAGAGGAGAGCTTTATCAGTGTAGATTGTTTATTTAAGGTGGAGAAAAGGAGGCACTCTGCACTCTTTTATTTTGTGTTCTGTAATACCGAGTTCGTTTGGAATTCAACAGTGAGACATTTGGCTTGTATGGCTCCCAAAAAATCTGTGTCCACTTTATGCCACAGCTGCGGTTGATGGCAAAAGTTGGGACTATTGAACTCTTGACAGAGCGTTCTGCTCACCGCTGTCGTCTGCAGAATGCTGCTGTTTGCAGTGGCAGAATTTTCTGTAGCGGCTCCTTTTAAAAAGAATGAAATATTCGGCTTGCTGTCATCTGTCTACCACAAACATGTGAATGCAGCATTAGGGTCATAAACAACATTCATATCATGGATTAGATCAGTTCCATTTATGTAGGGCCTTTGACGAACTCTAGGATGCTTTACAGAGAGATCAGAAAGTAATAAAATATATAATCAACAATAAATAAAACAACACAGAACACATACACGCACACAAAACTCTACTAGCTAGCTGTGGAGGTTACAATAACCAAAGTAGAGAGTCACTTAGCTAGCCCGGAAAGAGTCCTTAGCCATGGGTAAATCTCACTCCACAACTACGGTGCGTCACACAGGAGGCCAGCCCTGGAAGCCTCAAAGGCTGCAAATGTCCTCCGCCACGAAGGGGGAGCGTTTTCCTGCAGCTGAACACCGCCAATCCAGGCAGCCTCATAGCTGCAGTGCAGTGTCACCCAGGTGGCCGGCCCGAAAGGCTTCCTAGCCATGGGGTGGCGCTGCTCACGCAGCCGAACACTGCCAGGCCAGGCAGCCCCACAGCTGCAGTGCAGGATTATCCAAGCAGTCTGCCCAGGCAGCCACATCCCTGCGGTGTCACATCGATCAGGTCCCCGGTCCAGGCAGACTCGTAGCCACAATACGTCACTCAAGCAGCCGGTCTAGGCTGCATCATATCTGTGATGTAGCGTCACCCAAATAGCCAGACAAAAAAGCCTCTGAGTCACAGGTGGAAGATTACTTTCGGCCGATGTGTGTGTGTTCCAAACAAGCAAAAGTAAAGAGAAAAACCTCAGTGGCTGTCAATATGTTGAGATAAAAGTGCAGTTTTTTATTTGTCTTTTTTGCTGGAGTTGCCCTTTAATGCAGAGGTTCAGATCTTAAAGTGGTAGATATTAAATCCCCTCTCACTCCGAATGTGGCTGCTTTTATCTGTGCTGATGTACTGCAGTTCATGTTTATTAGAGATCCTGAACAGCTCCACTCTGTTTGAGACATGGCGCTGAAGTCAGCCCCTCTGTCTGTCAGCTTGAAACTTTCCACTCCACCTTAAAAACCGATTTAAGGTGGAGTGGTAAATAGAGAAGGCAGCTTTACTATTATATTTGAAATGTCTTGGGCTGATCCACTGCACGCATTTTAGACTGTATTGTTTGATCTCTCATCGTTAAACGTTGTTAGTCGATCACATTGTGAATGTAAACAGAACATGGTCTGTATGTTCTGTGTTCGGCTGCTGGAGTTCCTGCTGCGGTTCTTGTTCTCTGTAGCTTTAATACGGACCCTGTGCTCCTCTGAGTGCAGCTCTCTGCTGTGCTGATTGAGCGTTTGTGTGTTGAATAATGCATGTGCTGCATTCACTGCGTCCGCACCCCTCATCATTCTACACACACACTTACACACACACATGTTCAGAACGCCAGCCCAGTTTTACAGCACAGACTTATTTTGGAACACAAAACCGCTCAGCGTTAAGGCTTTCATTTTCACGACTAAAGAACCAATTCACGTTTTCTTTTGCAATGTGATTTTTCTGCTGTTTATTTATGTACATATGTGTATGTGTTATCGCTTTTACTGTAGTATGTATATTTACACACACACATGCTGCAGTTTGTGTTTACATGATAGATGACTCTCTTTTTTATCTTTCTCTTTCTCCTTTCTGTTTTCTCTCTCTATTCCTTTATCTTTCTCTCTCTCGCTCTCACTGACAGATTGCATTTCTCGGTCTAACAACTGCTGAGAGGTCGAGTCTGATGCTCAGTCAGAGGAAGCTCCCTCACTCCTTCTCTCTCAGACAGAACCCCTTCAAGTAACCACACTTGCCTCATTTACATAATTAACACAATTAACATAATTTACCTATTGATCCTAATAAAGAGAGATAGAGTAATAATTCAGTAGCAGCTCATCTGACTGACTAAACCTGAGGATCTTTAGATAAAGATGTCATATATTAATTTAAATATGTGGATAGATTATTATATTAATAGTCTGATTATATTTATAGTCTTATTAAAGTTGATAAAACTTGATATTCATATATATATTCTGTTATTAAATATCACACACACCTGTCTGTTTTCTCTGATATGGTACACAGACACATCTCAGGTCTTCTGTGGTTTTATATGGATCACTGAAAGTTTTCACTGCTACTGGCTTTATGCAGATTTTAAGGCACAATTTCTATTTGTATGCTGGGAAAAAATAAAACATAAATGTTGCATGTGCCGAAACTTGCACAGGCAATATTTTATGTTTCAGATTTTCCCCAATATGTTAAATTAATAAAAATAAAAGAATAAACAGTAACTGTGTATTAAGATGTGCAGCAGTGTGTCTCTGTAGGGGAATTGTAACTTATTTACACTAAGAAAATCAACACATACATGGAATTTGGTCACTTTTGTGTTAAACTGTTCACACTGTTACTGAGGTAATTGTGTAGAATTCTCTCTCTCTATCTCTCTCGCTCTGGAAGCCGTGGAGTGCTGAAGAACCTGGTGAACTTCTTCCAGCTGCGTTGCTGTGGTTTGTGTAAGCCGCTGGTGCTGGACTGGACGCAGGAGTTTCCGATGGGCCTCAACAGAGACCACCCGATGTTCAACAGCATGGACCCCGTCTGACCCAACAGAGGCCCCCGACCTCTTACCAACTTCACATTTGTCAGCCTTTCGGCATAAAAGACTGGACTCAGATTTGGGTGGTTTGGTACGTTTAGCATCTTCGTCTGTATTTAACAGGAAGTATGCAGCCTGAATACGGTCGAGCTCATGAAGGTCCTGTTTGCCTTATAAACTCTCTATAAAGGCTCTATATGAAGATGATTGTTACTACAGACATAGATGTATAGAAATATATATATATATATATATATATATATATATATATATATATATATATTGGTATATTTTGATCTGAAATATTTTGTAAGCATTGAAACAGTCAGCTGTTTCATGTATATAAACTCCACAAGTGCTTTTATTATATCGAGCCTTTGCTTTTTTTATATGGAAATAGACCACTGTCTGCAGACTGGAGCAAAGTCTGCTTTTTTCACAGCTTGATGTCAGGAGGATGTAGATTTTTGCACAATTCAAAATTAAAATGATTAAGATCAGAGTTCTCTATAAATTGCCAAGTATTTTCTTTTTTTCATTTCCCTCCAACATTTTTACAGCTTTGCCTCTGTCTGGCAATATAAGGATTAATGATTCATTTGAAATCAAATTGGCAAGTTTTTCCCTCCAAAATTCACAACCCATACTTTTTTACCGACCATCAGAGATAACGGCTGCATGGAAAATTTTGGCACATCACAATTTTCTTATAATTTGTTCATGGTAAAATTGTGTTTAGTCACTGCTATCATTATTTTTTTCTTTCCCCTTCTAAAGGTTTCACCTTAACACTCCAACGAAGAGGCCAAGGTGCTTATAATCATGTTAATAATATTATCATAGATTTGGTCTTACACGATTTACGCATAATTTGTTGATGATAAAAAGGATTTGTCCACTATGATCATTATATGTTCAGCTGAACTGTTGACCTCGGCTCTAAACATTCCTACTGTTACAGTAATGATGTTTTACTGTGACAGTAATAATTTACTGTGTAAAAGATTAATACTGGCACAAAGAAACATTACCATCACAGTAAACCATCATTGCGGTCACTGTAAATCTTTACAATGATGGTAATGACGTTTTACAGCGATGGTAATGATTTACTATGACAGTAATGACATTTTACAGCGATGGTAATGATTTACTCTGACAGTAATGATATTGGTCTTTGACTATCAGCTCCAGTCTCAGTGCAGCTCTGTAGGCCTGGAGTTTATTACATATCGCAGAATTTCTAAGCCAGATACTCAAGCCTGTCCTATAGGAGAAGAGTAGAGTTCAGGTGCATTTCTTTTGGACAGTCCTCAATTTGGGTGTAAGTCATCTTGCAAAACTGAGAAATCCTGCTTTGTGAAATATCTCCCAGAATGCTCTGCTTTATTTTCCTGTGAACTCAGTGACTTTGAATGAGTTTCTTTCTCAGTATATGTTGTTTTTCCACAAACAGGGAAGAACTTTGTGCTGTACTCAGTTCTATTCTTGGAATAAAAGCAGCTGTTTTTGTAACTCATTTGTGGATGTGTTCTTTCTGTCTTAACCCCCATTATATTATGTATATCAGCATATACTATGAATTATTTAGCATATACTATGAGTTATTCAGCATCTACTATGCATTATTTAGCATCAACTATGGAGTATTTAGCATCTACTATGAAATCAGTAGTATCCAATATGAATTAAAGTCACATAATTATCATTTTGGTCTTTATAATTTTTATATCACAGAAAGCACAACAATATGCAAATGAGCCCTATAAGCAATTAGTGTGCTGTCTTCATCCTGACCGTCCACAGCTCCAGATGAGTTTGTGTGGGTGTTCTGAAGAGCCATTAATGTAATCCAACAAAAGAAAACTATTTGGTTAAAATAATGCAGACTACTTTGCAACCGTTGCGTTAATATTTCAACGCAGAGCATTAATGTTTTGCGAGGTATAAGACAATCACATGTATGACTATAATTACTGTATTCTTTATTAGTAGTCTTGATTTTTTCATTAGTTCTGTGACATTTTTTTTTTTGTTGTTTAAACTTTAAAATGTACATATGTATCTCATGTTTATGCAGACGTTTTCATGTGTTTCCACAGTTCGTACTCATGTAATGCAAACAGCTTGAGAATCCAGAGAATCAGCAGGTCTGTGGCGGATAAATTAGTTTTTCCAGAGAAGATCTTCATTAGTGCTAAACGCCTCCTCCTCCATCCACTGCAGCTCAACAACTTCATTAAAAACAGCTTTGTTCACTCAACCTGACAGAACAAATGAATGATTCTGTATAAACTAGCACACATGTAAAGATTATTAGCACAGTTTTGGATATGTAAATGAGTGGTATTAGATGAATGAATGATATTAATAATGGATGATAAACAGGCTGATGGAGGATTAAGTGATGCAAAGTCAAAACACTTCATTAATGTGTTTAATGCAGTGTTAGTTTATCTGTTATTCTGTTATCAGCTCTCACACGGTCACTTTTCTGAATTGAGTTTTTGAACTGCAGGCTAAAGTAAGAGGCCTGATGTGATCTTTGTACAGGGACTAAATCACAGAGTAAATGTTTGTTGTTTATTGTTGGTCAACTGGTCAAAGCTGTCATTCTCCGTCTTCAACCACGCCCATGTTGCCCAGGCCACGCCCTTTAGGACCAAAGTTTTTCGCATAGCACACTGAAAAAGAGGGGAGGAATAATGTCAATAATAATAATAAAGTCATTTTCATCCATTCAATAACAGGAGCAGCTGAAGAAGCCTTGGGGACACCTTTAACTGCTTTTATACTTAGAATCAGGAAAGAATCCCTGGGCAGGTTCGACTTATCATTAATCAACTCTGTGCTGGTGCTTTGTGTGTATTTAGTTTCAGGTTCATCAAAGTATCTTCCTCTGTATGAATAAATAATGATTGGAAAGTAAGTATTTTTTGGCAGCAGTTTTTCAGTTTTGTATTTTTTAATAACAATATGGAGAAACAGCTTTCTGTTTAAAATATCATGTTATCACAAACTGACAGAGAGAACACTAGCTTTAATTAAACATTTTTACAAATTGTGATTACATTTTCTGGGGTGTCCCCAAACCTCATATCTCCAAAATTCTAACTTTACAGAAAAAGTAATAAAACAAAACAAAGGACAACAGACATTTTCAAATTATGTCCAAAAACTGAAAAGGTTTTGTTCTGACAGCAACAAGATGATAATGTGTAATATGTACTGTTATATAACTTAGAATATACAGTTATGGTGTAACAAACACAGTGTATATAACACTATAGCAGCATAACATTAACAGTTATATATACTACATATTGGGCATTCAATTTTAGCTGATGATTGTCATAAGTATTTGTAATTAATGATTTAATAGGCTTCTTTAGTTTATCACATGCAGCTATTAAAGTACAAGACTAAAGCAGCCAAACTAGCTAATTAGCCCTTTCGTTCCCAGATACGTTTTCTTAAAATGTCTACAGCTGCTTCTCTGAAAAATAAGGAAAAAAACACTCAATCTGCTAGCATTCTTGCTAATTAGCTACACAGCGAACAAATAAACAAACTGTAAATGCATTTACTGCTTTCTTTTGTTTACATTTATTTGCCTCAACTTATCACACCACATTCACATTCTGTTAGCTGCAGCGCTATATGACTGTCAAGTCTAACAGCTATTTAAAATGACTGCATTCAACTTAAATAATTGTGATTAGGCAATTATGTATTAAGTACGTAAGACCTAACTGTATCTGCAACATACACTGTTCTGGTGTGATATCACTGCTGCTGCCCCCCCTCTACCCATCCCCCAAGGCGTGTTTCAGGTGATTAATCGGCTCCCTCACACAGCTGATTACTCTGATTACTGACTGCTATGCTGTTGATTAAACCTGATGTCGTCCTCATTAATTCTCAGCGGTGGGAACTCTTGAGTGTGATGCTAATGCGTTTGCTTTCAGACTCAAAACACAGACACTCCAGTTATTTCATCAGGAGGATAACAGCCTTTCAGACCCAGAAGAGCTCAGCTAATGGGATTAACTGCAGGTACTAAGCTATAAAGGAGAATTACACCAACTTTTCAAACTGCCTGCATAGCTCAATCACTGTGATTGAGTGGTGGTCATATGATGCACAATGACTACAACACAAATATAGACATTTTATTTACTATCCAAAACCACCAGTGAACCTACACATGCTTTCTGAAGTTTATATGGATGAGGGGGAAAATAGTGGAACATCTGAAATAGTAAGTTTTCTCTGGGGACTATTATGCCTCACAGCACCCTGCATGAATCCCTCCACGATGAATGGAGTTTAAGTTCTCAAAACTCATAAAACATATAGTTCATAAAACAATAGAACGGAGCATTTCACACCAAACCACTCTGAACAACTCTGTTTGCGGCTTAACCAGTTAATTATGCATGGATTTTGAAAAGTTGGTGGAGTTTCCCTTTAAGCAGGTTAAAAAGAAAAACAAGTAGAAGACGACCATTGTTAATTTTGTACCTTTGCAGTAAAGTTCACCATCTTTGTCGGTCACTGTAGTGGACTCCAGGCTTTTTCCACACAGCAGACAACGGAAACACGTCTTATGCCACGGCTGCAGACGAAACAACAGACAAAACATTGCTGAAAAAACAGAAATAAATGTGATAGCTCAGCCAAAAACCAAATTACCCCAGTTACCCAAATTATGTGGTTTCTGTCACTGTATGACTCACTGTTATCTATAAACATGGACTAAATTACATTAGCATAGCTAACTACACTAGCAGAACTCTGAACTTTGTTCATATGTTCGTTCATTTAGGGTGTGTTAGTGATGGGGCTTTACCTTTCCAGCCCCCATGACCTTCTCGGCAGCGTACACGGCCTTAGAGCAGCGCGGGCAGCGGTCAGAACCGGTGAACTTCTGAGCAAATTTACCAGGATTAGAGTTGGTGGACGGACGAGGAGGTTTAAGCCTGAAGTGAAAAGGAAAAAAGACATTCAAAATACATTAAGCGGCTTTTAAAATGATTTCTCTTATCTGCAGCAGGTCAGTGCATGCTGCAGGTCTGCAGGTGCCTGTTTAGCTATTGGGTTAATTTTCTGACAGACTGTTTTTAACTTTGCTGTTACATAGTAAAGCAAAAACAATGCAAAAAACAAAAGATAACTTGGTATCCAGGTTTCCTGGTATTGTAAAGGTGTTGCTCAGTTGTTATCATGGTATTTTAGACAGTTGTTAAGTGGTTGCAAGCTGGCTAGCTGGTTGCTGTGGCATTTTAGGTAGCTGCTAGGGTTTTGGTGGTGTTTACAATGGTACTTTAGGTCGTTACAACAGTTGCTAAGGTATTCAAGGTGGTTGCTAAGGTGGTACTGGATGGCTCCTATCATGTGGTTGATAGAGGGTGGCCAGGCAGTTGCTATGTTACCTTAGGTAGCTGCTAAGGTGTTGCTTGGTGATTGCTATATTATTTAGGTAGTTCCTAAGGTGTTGCTAAGAGGCTACTAAGGAATTCAAGGTGGTTGCTAGGATGGTACTAGTTCATTCCTATTGTGTTTCGGGTGGTTGCTATTGTACTCCAGGTAGTTATTAAAGTGTTGCTAGGTGATTGCTATATTATTATTATTATTATTATTATTATTATTAAGTGGTTGCAGGGCATTGCTAAGCAGTTCATTTGTTATTCTAAGTCAGGGGTGTCCAATCTTATCCACAAAGGGCCGGTATGGGTGCAGGTTTTCATTCCAAACAAGAGGAGGACACCTGATTCCACTCATGTAAATCAGTCAGTCAAAGTCTTTAAAGAACCAACCATGTGAGCTCCTGCTTTGATGCAAGGAAAACCTGCAGCCACACTGGCCCTTCATGGATAAGACTGTTGTAGGTGGTTTCCATGGTGTTGCTATGTGGTTGCTGTTGTACTGGAAGTGGCTGCTACTGTTGTTCTGTGGTTGCTTCAATATTTCTTGTAGTTGCCTGCGGCTTGCTAAGGAGTTGACATGATATTCAAGGGGGTTGCTATGGTATCCCAGGTGGTTACTAGGGTGTTCCAAGCCATTCTGACATTTATACCATAAGTAAAAATATATTATAAATAGATGTATAATCAACACGGTTGCATATTGCACACTCGCTGATGAATTTATTAAATTAACTTACAATAAATTATTAAATTTAATAATAATTTAATTTAGTTCTTTTTTTTGTTATATTTATAGAAGTTCTTGCCTTCTAATAGTTAGCCCTTTCTAGAAGAATCCATCTTGAGAGCTTAGTGGTTCTATGGTTCTACCAATTCTTTTCCCCAAGAATGCTTTAAGCATATTACATCACTGTCAAGTAAAACTCTGTATCTCTGAAACAGTAACTTTATAGGAAAAGGGAGAAAAAAAAACATTCTTAACCTTATTGTAAGTTAAGGTAACCTGATCACATTCCCAATCAATATTGATTTTGGACCATTTGTGATATATTATGAAATGTTTACAAAATGTGAAGAGAGCTGATAAATACTGAAGTTTTGAAATGATAGAGAGGATATACTTGTATAGGATGCATGTATGTATGGGATGTATGAGTGTTTATATGTGTTCTGCACTCACTCCTGAGACTGGAGCTGTTCATTATCCACTGGATCTGAGCTCAGCGCTCCGGCACCCTGACCGTATCCATAGCCTTTTGGACCATACTTCTTTCCGTAGCAGGATTTACAGTAGATCTCAGACTCGTGTGCTGCTACAGTCGTGCTGTCCAGGCCTTTACGACAGGTCTCTGTGGAAAAACAACAGAAGTAAAGTATAAACACAAATAAACTGCAAACTTTCAAGGTTCATTTTTAAAAACAATGTGACACACATATTCATCTAGGAAATACACATTATACTCATGTTAAAATATTTGGAATGACTGTTGTTGGTAATATAAAGTTTAATATAAAACACTGTTTTGCCCTTCCTGGATCGGGGCCTTGTCGATCCAAAAATCCTCTATGAAAAATGTACACAGACAATCGTGTACCCTGCCCGGGAGAGGGTCACCGGGACCTACCCCTGGAGCCAGGCCTGGGGGTAGCGTCCCCCGGCGAGCGACTGGTGGCCGGGCAGCCCACGTAACCCGGCTGGGCTCAGCCCGAAGAGGCAACGTGGGGGGACCATGTGGACCCACCACCTGCAAGGCCCAGCATGGGGGAGTGGTGCAGTGCCGTATAGGCAGTGGGAGATTGCGGGGGGGGCCCTTGGTGGCCTAGGCCCCTGCGGCAGAAACTGGCTCTTGGTACGTGGAATGTAACCTCACTGGGGGGAAGGAGCTGGAGCTTGTGCGGGAGGTTGAGAGGTACCAACTAGATATAGTTGGGCTCACCTCCACCCACAGTGTCGGCTCTGGAACTAAACTCCTTGATAGGGGTTGGTCCCTCTCCTACTCCAGGGTTGCACACTGTGAGAGGCGCCGGGCGGGTGTGGGGATACTCACGAGTCCCCGGCTGGCAGCCGTGCAGTTGGAGTTTGTCCCAGTGGACGAGAGGGTCGCTTCAATGCGAATTAAAATCGATGGTCAGACCCGGTAGGCCCAAGCGAATAGTGAGGGTGTGGTAACCCAAGAACCCCCTGGTGGACACCGGGGGTGAGGGAGGTCGTCAAGCTGAAGAAAGAGGCCTTTAGGGACTGGATGGCCCGAAGGACTCCCGACTCAGCAGATAGGTACCGACAGGTGAAAAAGGTGGCAGCCGCAACGAAAAAGAAGCCATGGAAAAAGACTTTCAGTCGGCCTCAAGGAGGTTCTGGACGACTGTCCGGCGACTCAGGAGCGGTCGGGGTGGCTGTGCCCAAGCTGTATTCGGCAGGGATGGGGAAGCTCTGACTTCAAATGAGGATATTGTCGGTCAGTGGAAGGAGAACTCCTTAATCCGGGAGATATGCCTCCCTCACGGGAGTCAGGGCCAGAGGCTTCTGGCGTGTCAAGCTCCATTTCCCTGGTGGAGGTCACTGAGGTAGTTGGCAAGCTCTTCAGTGGCAAGGCACCAGGGGTGGATGAGATTCGTCCGGAGATGCTTAAGGCTCTGCATATTGTGGGGCTGTCGTGGCTGGCACGCCTCTGCAATATTGCATGGACCTCGGGAACGGCACCCTTGGACTGGCAGACCGGGGTGGTGGTCCTATTTTTAAGAAAGGGGACCGGAGGGTGTTTGCCAACTATCAGGGTATCACACTGCTCAGCCTCCCTGGGAAAGTCTATGCCAAGCTGCTAGAAAGGAGACTTCGACCGATAGTTGAACCTCGGATTGAGGAGGAACAATGCGGATTCCGTCCCAGCCGTAGAACAATGGACCAGCTTTTCACCCTCTCACGGATTGTTGAGGGGGCATGGGAATTTGCCAACCCAGTCTACATGTGTTTTGTGGATTTGGAGAAGGCTTATGACCGTGTTCCCCGAGATATCTTGTGGGAGGTCCTCCAGGAGTATGGGGTGCCGGGGCTACTACTCCGGGCCATTCAATCTCTGTACTCCCGGAGTAAGAGCTGTGTTCGTATACTCAGCATTAAGTCGGACTCTTTCAGTGTTAGCATTGGACTCTGCCAGGGTTGTGCCCTGTCTCCACTCCTGTTCGTGATATTCACGGACAGGGTGTCAAGGCGTAGCCGTGGTCAGGAGGGCTTTATGTGTGAGTCCATGGTCTTAGCCCGGAAAAGGGTGGCATGCCCACTCCAGGTAGGGGGAAAGGACTTGCCCCAGGTGGAGGAGTTTAAGTATTTCGGACTGTAGTGGTGAAGAGGGAGCTGAGCCATAAGGTGAAGCTCTCTGTTTACCGGTCGGTCTACATCCCGACCCTCACCTATGGTCATGAGCTATGGGTAATGACCGAAAGAATGAGGTCGCGAATACAAGCGGCGGAAATGAGCTTTCTTCGCAGGGTGGCGAGCTACACTCTATTGGATAGGGTGAGGAGCTCGGCCATCCAGGAGGAGCTCGGAGTAGAGCCGCTACTACTCCGCATTGAGAGGAGCCAGCTGAGGTGGTTTGAGCATCTGATCCGGATGCCCCCTGGACGCCTACCGGTGGGGGTGTACCAGGCACGGCCTACCGGGACAAGGGTCGTCCTAGGACGTGCTGGAGGGATTATATCTCCAGGTTGGCCTGGGAGCGGCTTGGGGTCCCCGGGAATGAGCTGGAGGAAGTTGCGGGGGACAGGGTCGTCTGGGATTCTCTGCTCTTCCAACTGCTACCGCGACCCTATCTGGACTAAGCGGTTAACGACATGTTTTGCAGATAAATGTATAAAATGACTGCAATATGGTTGTCCTGAACAACTTCACAGCTTCCAAATAATCAGCATGAAGCTGTAAATAAAAATGAAGAAATGAAAGATGCATCCATTATGAGGAACAGAGCTGTAGAAAGTTCTAAAGTGAATAAGAAAGCTGTAGATCAAGAATAAAATTCTAATAAAATTAACATCTAGAATTCATATGTTGAAAGTGAAGATCAATGCAGATAACCTCACAAAATACATAAATTCTTGCACACAGAATTCTAAATCTAAAAGTACCTTTTAGTGAAGTTTATAATATTTAAGTTCACATTGTATAAGTTATTATTTACAAAATAACAAAAATTGTAAACACAGAAAGTGGTTCCAAACTTTTGAATGCTAGTGCTTGTGCTGTTTTTTTCTGGCCCTCTATACATATAATTATAATAAACGTGAAATGGAGCAAATAACACATTTGCATGTATCAAATCTTATATTAAAGCAAATTTTCACTTACCCAAAATGTAGAAGTGTCTGAAGTTTGCTTCTTTAGTTTTTGCACTGGCGCTACAAGGCTAATATAGCTAACATGCAATGAAAGTCTCTTTGAGCTTATTTAACAATAGAACATGGTTTGATTCAAGTGTGATGATTTAGGTATGCAGTTAGCACCATGCTAATTGGTCGGCTATTAGCTGTCATTGCTTGTTAGCTATTAGCCACACAGCTCCAGTGCTAAAAATAAAGAAGCTAACAATGTTTTTGCTGATCGTCTGGGGGAAACAGCAAACTCAATTTTTGAACCCACTTTATTTGGATAGCTCTTTATAGATTATCTGTTCAAATAACAATGATCTACACTCAGTTTATTCTCAACAGTGTTCGGGTTAGGAATAGTACCAATGTTAGGTTTACTTTTTGGTTTGAGTTTAGGGTTAGAATTGGGAGTTTTAGGGTTAGTGGAAAATTGAGGTGAACTTATTTATTATTTTGCAAACTATCACTTTAGGGCTGCCCTGCTTTGTTTATTAATAAAGCCATGTATAGGACAGTCACTTTGCTGGGTTAGTCTCAGCTAATTCAGCTAATTGGTTTACCATTCAAATTTGCAATGTGTAACATTTTTTGGGACATTTGAACATAACGTGCTTACAATGTGTGCCTAATTGCTTTGTTTGGCTATGAACTTTGCTGTAATGCCTTTCTATTGTTGTCATTTGCTATATAGCATGCTAACTAGCCAGCTAGCAGAGATAAGTAATGAAGTTATACCAGCAGTCGGGTATAACAGATGGAGCAACCTAAAGACCAGGAAATCGAATGTTATCATTTTCAAAAATTAACGATTTAAAAGCAGTTTATAAGCAGCTGCTGTAGCTTAGAAGTTTTATATTGGCTCTCACAGTTTATGCTGATCTGGTGCTGCTTTAGCTGGTCACTCAGTATGGTCATGCTGCTTGACCAGTACACCAGCATCAAAAACACAACATATGCTGCATTTGCTGGTTACCAGTCTATGCTGTTTTTTCTAGCAGGGATGACCTCACTGTGTCCTGCAACTGTCCTGCTCTTGGCCTGGGAGCTTAGCTTCTGTGGCTAATTTTGGTCTGGATGGGTCAGGCTGCAGGGAGCCCAAATTCCACAATGCCAAATACTCCAGTGCACCACAGCAGATGGAAAAGAGCAAGCCCCTGAATGGAAGCTAATTGTAGGGGAATTAGCATAGCGTAGCTCTCCCAGTGGCCCCATGTAGTCATCTCCTTACTCAGCCTGGTCCAAACTACTGAAACATGCTGTTTGTTTACTTAGAAATACACTGCCCTTCAAAGGTTTGGGGACAACTAGCGTCTCTAAATGTTTTTGATAGAAATGAGCTGTTTCTTTGCTGTTTGTAACATATTAAGTAGAAAGCTGTTTAGATTTTGCTTTTTTCTGAAAGAAACCGAAGAAACAGCTAATAAAATCTCTACTTTGGGAATAAAGCCAATGTCCATGTATTTCATCCATTTGATTTTATATCAGCACTGATTAACACTCAAACTTTTTAGGTGTTTTTGGCCCAAAAAGTTTTAATATGAGCTTTGAACAATATTTTAGAAAAGACAAGTGTCAAATCATAATGTAGACCAAACCTTCTCTTCATACCAAGGAAGATACTTTGATGAATATGAAGCCGAGTGTTAAAAATAAATATAAACACTCCTGCTGAAAAAGACAGAGTCTAATGCTGGTCTAAGATGGTCTAAGATGGTATACCAGCATCCAAAACATAACATATGCTGGTTTTGCTGGTGACCAGCCATGCTGGTCTATGCTGTTTTTTCTAGCAGAGAAACTATTAGCACAGAACTGATTTATGATACACTAAACTTTTGCTACATATTTTTAATAGTGAAAACCCAAAACATTTAAAGAAGATAAGATGTCCCCAAACATTTCCTGACAGGAAGTTTATGAAGGATGGATTCTCTGAGAATACTCCTTGTTTTTGATTAAATATGTTTTCATCAGCTTGCCGTTCTGCTGCTTCACATAACCATTAGCATATTGCTAATTTACTCACATTCTGCCTGCAGATGTTGTTTTCAGCACTCAGTTTAGGAAGCTGCTTACTGAGAGCTTCGAACTGCAGCATACTCTGTGGCTTGTAGGTGATAAGGAAGGCCACATAAAGCTGTGGTCAGCTTTATCAGGCGGAGATCCTCCGCCAAACAGATTAGCATAAAAGAAACATGAACAGCGAGAGACTGAATCAGGGTCTGGCCTGATCGTTGAGTGTTGTGCGCTCTGTTTAGCTGTTTTACAGCCCAATTTGTTCTGAAGCATAACCTCAAGAACTGAAACGAGCTAACGCTAATGCTAAGGCTAATATCTGTGTGGTATGATTAGAGCTGGATTCCTCCAGTGTGATCCTGGAGAGAGAAGAATTTACTTGTGTCTTTGAGATTGAGATTTGAGCCATTTTGAAGCTTTAATTTTAATTTTTACTTTATCCATTTTTATAAATAAGTAAGTATCTCTTTAACTACCTGAATCAGGATAAGCAACAAGTGGATAAAAACAAAAAAAGGGTTAGCATAGCTCTAGGCCATTTCTAAATGAAAAAAGGGCATCACTCTGTAATGTTTTGACTATAATATGGGTAAGTGAATAAATCTCAAAACCACAACTTTTTCTTTCTCCAGATCCTAGTGGAGGAACCCAGCTCTGATCATACCACACAGATATTAGCATTAGCTAACGTCTTGATGTTGCGCCAAAGTCCTTAGAGGAAAGTCTGCTCCATAGATATACACATACCTAGATGCCGCGTTTTCTGGTGTTCTCTGAGGCAATGCGTCTGCGTGTCTGCCATGCTGGAGCGGTCAAGATCCGCTTGTCAAAAAATTCACTTATATTGAGAGATGATGAGTCTCAGGATTAAATCGGCCACAACTTCCTTATTACTCATTATTTTCATCAAATTTGTTTTGTTATAATGCTCAGACACAGATTAATCTAGGTTGCATAGACTGCTCTCGGTAGCTTTTATTTCTTTAAGAACTGATCGTGCTAATTAGCCGTCCGGACCAGCAGGAAAGTATTCAGTCTGCATCTGATGTTACAAACCGAGTTCAGAGTGAGCTTGGGCAGAAACATAATCTCACACACATCAGCAAATCCATCAATGTGTGAATCACTTCTAATCTTAATACACATAAAATAAAATACCCCCCCCCCTCCCCCAAACACAGTAAGAAGTCACTTTCTGGTGCCTGAAGCTACACCTTTTCAAGTGGAACAGGAAAATTCCAACAAGAAGCTGGCAAATAAAAAGCTAACTTCAGGTTCATGCAAGAAGGTGCTAACGTTAATCTATTACTAATACCTACATGGATTAAGGAATTCTATAACTTACCTTAGCTACAAAGTATTAACCATCACTGTAAACAAATAACTACTACAAGTTAAGATCCCCTGAATAGACTATTAAATGAAATAAGCTTAATATAAAACCAGAGAAAAAACAATCACATCAACAGGTTCTCTGTGCTTGACCAACCACATGGCCATATCTACACCTAAACATCACACAAACAATATGCATCATACAAATATGAGTGTGGATCGCTGCATTATACAATCCTATTCCACTTTGAGTGCAATATTCTTGAGATAGTATAATTTTGGACTGTATCTTTCTTTAACTGCCGCTCTGTAATGGCACTGAATGCAGTCCAGCAGCGATGTTGACCGCCCAAAAATTGGGGCGCTGTTCACGTACCTGGCTGGACCCAACGTGGCATTTAGGTATGTACATCTATGGTCTGTTCACTCAGCGGCCATCTTTGCAATGCTGCCAGGGCAGTTATTCCCAGCCATACAAGACCAGACTCCTTTCTCTCTGAATGAGGAGTGACCAAAATATTCAAACTGAGGGTCTAATTACAGTTTAAAAACTGTATACTTAAATTCACCAGTAAAATTTGACAAAACCTCATAAGTAGCGTCAGGTTCATTAACACACAAAAAAACATTTTTTTGTGTTGTTCTGGCTATTGCACTTGTGCAGATCGCCACAATGAAGTGCGGAGAGGCAGGGGGGTTTCTGCTTATAGCGTAACCAGAAAGCTGACTGGCTCTTTTTATTGGATGGCAGGACTTTCTCTGTAAACAGACATCACATTGAGCATTACAAGCTTTCCAAATCATATTTCAACCAGTGACCGTCTCCACTTTTATAACGTCTTTGGATGCTCTTCAGTGCAAATATTGGACTGTCCCAGATAGTAAGAAGATAGCAGGCCACTGTTGACCTGCTGATGGCAAAGCTGGCGGCCCACAGGCTTGTTGCTCAGCATTTTCCAGGTGGCCCACTGGCGGTTAAACAGAGTGTTAGATACCACTTTTAATTGTTCATTGTTAATTGTCCACTCACAGTCCAATTTACTAATTTTTCCTTCATTTCTTTCTTTCATTATACTTCGTATATTAGTTTAATAAATAATTTAATGTAGCACAGTGTCTGATTGGTCCAAGGGCGGACCAGCAGTGGCAAACAGTCAGTTGGGCGCTGAACTTCTCGAGCTAGCAGACAGATATATGCTCACTATCTGGGTAGCACCATGCTAACTGGTCTACATGAGCTACCATTTCTTGTTAGCTACATTAGCCTCATTGCTCCAATGCTAAAACTAAAGAAGCAAACATCTTGTTGAAGAATGACACATTTGGGATAAGAAGATTATATAATAACATTGGTTATTTTATTTGTAGATTTATATAATTGTTAAGAAACTATCTGGTAAATTACCAGCAGTGATGGGGTCAGGGTTAACGATTTGGGCCTGGGTTAAGAAAAGGATGAATGAGGTTTAGGTTTTTGAAGTTAAGGTTAGAGTGATTCTTAAAATTGAAGTTAAAAATGGTCATTAAATAGATATTAAGTTCATACATACATACATCATCTAAACCGTTTATCCTTCTGGGTAGCGGTGGGGTGCTTGGAGCCTATCCCAGCTGTCATTGGGCGGAAGGCAGGACACACCCTGGACAGGTCACCAGTCCATCACAGGGCAGACAGACAGACATACACATTCACACACTCACTCACACCTAGGGGCAATTTAGTATGTCCAATTAGCTTAACTGCATGTTTTTGGACTGTGGGAGGAAGCCGGAGTACCCGAAGGAAACCCACGCAGACACGGGGAGAACAGGCAAACTCCACACAGAAATGACCCTGGTCACCTGGCCGGGAATCGAACCCAGGCCATTCCTGCTGTGAGACGACAGCGCTACCCACTGCGCCACCGTGCCGCCGATATTAAGTTCAATGTAAGTGAAAGTAAGTTAAGTCTCTACAAAGCATGTACGGTGGGCTATGCAAATACAGTGTTAATAAATTGTTGAAGCTAAATTTGATTATTTACTCAAAATATGTGGATTATGAGTCTTCAAGGACTCCTGAACCCCCCACTCACTGCAGATGAAGCAGGGTTTGTGGAAGCTCCGGCCATTACACTGGATTTCTTCAGCATGGTACACAGTTTTCTCACAGGCCGCACACTTGGCTCCCCCGCCCCAATTCGGCATCTTCAGATCAGTCTACAGGAACTGAAAAAACAAAGAGTTAAAGACCTTCAGATTAAATGTGTTAAATGTATTAACATGACATGGAAATTATCTGAGCAATGCTACCTTATATGTTTTTACTTGTATTTCTTTGCTAAAGGGTTATACCACCTGTTCTTCAAAATTCTCTGCAGCATTTAAATATAATGTATAATTATAATCACAATAAACAATATATACTTCATTTCGTTTTTTTTATTTATTGATTAATTTACTGAACCATTTAGTTTTTAATTTTATTTATTTTTCAATCTGGCAAATCTGGTCCTCCATACAATACAGAGAGATGCATGTAAACCCTCCTGTGTTCATTTACATAGCCTTTTATATCCAGCATGCATGCAGTAGTGGGTTTGCTAGGGCATGATGATTGGCTGGTGGTGCACTGCCCTCTAAATGACCCCCTTATGCTGGGCCTGATGGGTAAAGAGTGTTTTATTCCATATTTCTTGTTACATAAAGCAGATTTTTCTACTGATCTGATCTGTAAAGAAAAGAATTAACCCTGCGTTCACATGGTGATATGTGGTCAATAGCAAACCGAATATTCCATCATTTTAAATAGAGCTTAAGGGAAAATTCAGCCACTACCATCTACCCAAGCTGACGTTTTTGCGCTGAAGTGCAACCTCAAGAACTGAAGTGAGCTAATGCTAATGCTAATGTTAATATTTGTGTGGTGTTATTAGTGCTGGATTCCTCCACTGTGATCCTGGAGAGAGAAAAACTTGGGTCTTTAAAATTTAGTCACTTGCAGCCATGTTACCCACATTACAGTCAAACATTACAGTGACATACTTTTTTCATTTAGAAACTGCTAAATGGCTAGCTCTGCTAGCTCATAAGTTGTTATAAGAAATCCTTTATTGTTTTTATCTAGCGGTTGCTAATCCTGATTCAGGCAATCAAAGAGATATGTATTTATTCAAAATGGCTCCTTTTTAGCTATGCTAACATAGGTTAGTCCATGTTTATAGACAACATTGAGTCATACAGTGTCAAAAACCTCATATTCAAGTTTATTAGAGATACTGAACATCTCCACACAGTTTGCGGCTAGCACATGATGGCATGCATGCAGTTTGAAGCACGCTTATTGGTCTTCATAAGTTTCCATTACTTGTTAGCTACATTAGCCATGTAGCTTCCAGTGCTAAAGCAAAAGAAGCAAACTTCTTGGCTGACACATCTGGTCATTTTATTTGTATATTTATATAATTGTTAAGAAGCTATCTGACAGACTATCAGCAGTAATGGGGTCAGGGTTAGGACTTGGGCCTGGGTTAGGAAAGGGATGAGTCAGGAAAAGGAATTTTAGGGTGCTTAAAATGATCTTAAAATCAAGGTTAAAAGTTAGCTAAAATAGATACTTAGTTAAATGAAATGGAAAGCAAGTTAAATATCTACAAAGCATATACAGTGGGCTATGCAAATAAAGTGTTGCCAAAAAGTGTGTTTTTGTAATTATGGAGTTCAGGTTTCAGCCACACCCATTGTTAACAGGTGGATAAAATAAAGCACATAGCCTTGCAAACTTCATAGACAAACACTGGCAGTAGAATGGGTGGCACTGATGAGCTCAGTGACCTTAAACATGGCACTGTCAGCTCCCGAGTGGCGCAACCGTCTAAGCATTGGCCCTAGCATCAGGAGATCGCGAGTATGATCCCTGGTGAAGCTACAGCCATCCGTAGCCGGGAGTCCAAGAGAGCACAAATGACCCCGCTCTCTCTGGGTGGGTAGGATGGCCCCTCCTTCTCCCCCTATCACTTAACACGACGCTAGTCAGCGCAGCTGTCTGTTACCTGACGTAACAGATCTAGCAGTTGGCACTTTCCTCTGAGCACGTTCAGCTGTCCAGTGACACTGCGTGAGCGGCAGTTCGAAAAGAAGTGGTGGCTGGCTTCACAGGTCTCAGAGGAAGCCTGTGTTAGCCTTTGCCCTCCTAGCATTGTGTAATAGTATCGTGTGATTGGGGGAGTCCTAACTAGCGGGTGGAATTGGTGATGACTAAACTGGGGAGATAATTGGGTAAAAATCCAAAAAAAAATAAAAAAATAAAAAAACATGGCACTGTCATAGGGTGCCACCTCTGCCACAAACCAGTTTGTGAAATTTCTGCCCTGCTAGATCTGCCCCTGACAACTGTAAGTGCTATTATTGTGGAATGGAAACACCTAGGAGCAACAACAGCTCAGCCACAAAGCAGACCATGCAAACTCACAGAGTTGGAGTGGCGAGTGTGTAAAAATCGCCTATACTCTGCTACATCACTCACTGCAGAGTTCCAAACTGCTTCTTAAAGCAACATCAGCGCAAGAACTGTGCATGGGAGCTTAATGAAATGGGTCTCCATAGCCAAGCAGCTGCATACAAGCCAAGATCATCATCAAAAGCATGCTGACACTGGAGTCAGGAGCAGTGGAAAGGTATTCTGTGGAGTGATAAATCGTGCTTCTCTATCTGGCAGTCTGATGGATGAATCTGGGTTTGCTGGATGCCAGGAGAAGGCTACCTACCGGAATGCACAGTGCCAACAGTTTGGTGGAGGAGGGATAATGGGCTGTTTTTTTTTAGGACCCTTAGTTCCAGTGAAGGGTGATGTTAATGCTACAGCACACAAAGACATTTTACACAATTATATGCTTCCAGCATTGTGTCAGCAGTCTGGGGAAGAACCTTTCCTGTTCCAGCATGACTGAGCCCATGTGCACAAAGTGAGATTTCTGGTAGTGAATAACCATTAGCCCTGCAATTTAGTCCACTGTCTAACTAGAGAACATAATAGTTAGCTCCACAGTCTTTACTGAATTATTAATAGTGCAACTGAATGATTCACACTAAATAATCAGACCTAATGTTAATAAAAGAATAGTTTCTCCTAATCCTAACGGAACCTAATGGTCTCCCAAAACTATTCCATACATAGAAGTGAACAGAGTTTCTGCTCTCAGCGTGGCAGACTGAGGCATCAACAGAGCGGAATGTGCTGATAACAATCCACAAATAGTTCCTTTATTAAAGCTGCCGCTGATAAACCCACAACAAGCGCTAATCCAGGCTCTCTTACAATCAAATACAACAAAAATATCTGTACTACACACTTAAAAACGAGGGTTCTTCAAGGGCTCTTTAGTAACGAAAATGGTTCTATTTAGAACCATGAACACTCAGTGTGCATGAAAGTGCTATAGACAGCTCTATATTGAACCTTTTTGAAAAGGGTTCTATATAGCACCCAAAAGGGTTCTTCTATTGTAACAAGCTTGATATTGAACAATAGTAGAAACCTTTTGGGTGTTACATAGAACCATTGTCAAAAAGGTTCTATTTAGAACCATCTACAGCATAGTCTCTGTCAATCTGAAAAACTATTTCGTGATGCAAAAAACTGTTTAATCATGCAAAGGGCTGTAAAGCACCAAAAAGCGTTCTTTTATTGGTACAAGCTTGACATCGTCATAACCCTTTTCGATGCTATATAGAACCATCTACAACACATTCTCCATCAATTTGAAGAAGCTTTTTCAATACAAAGAACCCTTTAATCACACAAAGGGTTCTTTGAGTGTTTATGGTTCTACACAGAATCATATTCTTTACTAAAGAACCCTTGAAAAACCATAATTGGTTTATCCATAAAAGTTTAGTCATAAAAGTGTAGACAAAGTTTAAACTGGTTAAATCTGTTAATGAATGTGTGGACACTATGTAATGTTAAGGGTAATGAAATTATAATTATTCATTAATACTGTCAACTTCATAAAGCTTACCTTTCATATTCTACAATAATTATTCTATATTAATTAACAAATCCACTGATTTTTCTAAATTTCCCCATAATTGAGTGTGTGAGATGTAATCAGAGTGATTCAGAGTGGTTTCCTGTTAAATGGTTCAGATTTATTTACAGTGGTGGTGATATTTACTATCCAAAGTCTTCTTTTGTATGGAATGTTTATGATGGGAAAATAGTGGAAAATCTAAAATTTTCTTTGGGGACTATTTTGCCTTATAACACCCTGCATGTATCCCTCCACTATGAAAGAAGTTTAAGATCTCAAAACCATCACAAAACAATGTCTCAGACATCGGGCAATGAATTCATAACCATTTCATGTAATAACTTTCTGTGCAGAAGCTTTTAGAGGCGGACATCAGGTTCCTATCACCACCACTGTGAACAATTCTGACTTGGTAAGTTTCTCCAGAACAGAATGTTTCACCCCAAACCACTCTAAATGACTCTGTTTACACCTTAACCACTTAAATGTGCAGATAATTCTGAAAAATCAGTGGAGCTCGCTTTCAAATCTAGATGTCTAGTGGCCTTTTAAGTAATGGATGGCTAAATTATATATACTTAAAGTATAAATACTTTAAGTAAGTATATATAAAGTCTATATACTTACTTTAACAAGTAGTCCAGAATTTTCCTCACGGTCGTCCAGCTCTGTCCTTCCCTCTGCCCATTTCTGACCCTCTGGGGGGCACTTATATATAGGCATCTTTTACCCAATCACATGCACACGGTTTCAGCAGGTCCATGAGTGTCGCTGACATCCAGATTAAATCATCCTCCTAAAATAACCACAGACAAAAGAGAATGCTCACTAATACACTGCACTTCCTACTCTCAGATCTCCTGCATCTGTGCTGAGCTTCAAATTCAGTGATTTACAGCTGAACACAGCAGACGAAGGATGATTCATTTCGGCCCGTCAGAAAGTTCTCTAATTTTTTAAAACTGTAATAAAACACAATGCAAGTTGAAAAGGTTTTTCCACGTGTGCTGGCAACTCATGAAAAGTTCTTGTTTCTCTGTAATCTTCCATCAAAATGTACTGACTCATCTGTAAATTGTCTTCTAATTTTTGATGATGTCACTGTGCACCATGGCTAACGTTTATCAATAATATCTCACCTCCTCCTACCTGTCATCACATTTCACTCAAAACTACATCACGATACAGAAGAGCAAGCTCTGACTTCTAGACATGCGCAGATATGTACACAAAAATATATCAGGCATCAGCCCACAGTTCCCAGATCAGTGCATCCCTACTGATTTCTCATTCACTCTGACTTTGTGCTTAACACAGTGCTTTCCTCACACAGCTTTTTCACCGTTTGGATTTTTGGTGCTCAGCCCAACACAATTTATTCACATTTGGTAGACCCTCCAACCCAGAGAGACGCAATTTCATCACATTACAGATGTTGAAAACAGAGTTACGAGTCCGGCCCAAAAGACGCTGCTAAAACACCTGCATAGAGAAGCAGAGCTAGGAAATATCACAATATTTATCATTATCGTGAAAAATTACATCACAATATGCTTTTCTGAACATATCGTGGATATTGTCCACACTTAAAAATCACTTTCCAACTGTATATTTGATCAAATAGACAGCAAAATTAGTCCTGTTTAATTAGATTTAGTGCAGCTCAGTGTGTGAAATGAAGTATTCGATTAGCACAAGCTGTGCGGAAAAGACAGAACTGTTTGTTTTTCCAATAGTCATGCTAAAGTAAAGCTTTAAATTAGCATACACAATTTCAAACGTATATACGCTCTTAAAAAAGATGGTTCGCTAGTAACCGCAATGGTTCTGTTTAAAACTATGAGTTTTCTATAGAACCATTTCACATTTAAATGTTTTTTTCAGATTGATGTAGAATGTGTTATGTCTCTATATATTCTGCGTCTTATTTTCATTTTTATGGCCTGCCAAAGCCGCAGAGCATGAGGCCAATGCAGTGTAAGCTAAAATTAGCGTTCGGATGCTAATGTGCCAACAGGAATGAATCCTCAAAGCTTTGAGGACAAACTGCGTTAATTACAGCTTTGAACGTTCACAAGGAAATAGGAGTCAAATATTTAATAACATACTTCAAAGAATGTTTTTCTTAGAGAAATGGTTATGACGAAGCTAAAGTTGTTTCTGTTCGCTAGCTTCTTGGTCGTATTTTCCCGTTCCACTTTAAATGGTGCAGTAGTTACATTCTGGCGCCTCACGCTAGCGTAACTATTGAAACTGGAGTCTACACAATCGGCACAGCTAACAGGACGATGGCTTTTGTGGCTAGATAGCTGTTGTGTGTCTTACTTTTAATTTCAATCCCTACCAAAGCCGCAGGTCATGAAGCTAATGCAGTGTAAGCGAAGCTAAGATTAGCGTTCGGATGCTAACGTGCTAACAGAAACCCATCATCAAAGCTTCGACAACAGGCTGCGTTAATTACAGTCCTGCATGTGCACACAGCGAAGTATGAGCAAAATATATAATAATATAACTACGCCAGTAAAAATGTTTTTCATTCGTGAATTTGAGGAGAGACTAGGGTTGTTCCTATTCGTCAGCTTTTTGTTCAAATTTTCCAGTTTGACCTTAAATGGTAACTACAGCAGTCACGTTCTGGCGCCTCAGGCAAAATAGACCACTGTAGTGTCGTCATTCTGTAGTCCTCGTTATGCCCATATTAGGAACTCCGGATCTAAACACCATTTCTCTATGGCCAGAATGAATAGGGTTTTCGAAAAATCGCCTCTATCGCACCCTGTGTTAAATAAAAATCTTCAGAACCCGATACGTTTTGCCCTGTGAATATTTTTCTCTCGAATAACACTGGATCATCTGAATTACGAGGTCGTTAAAAAGCTATAATATTAATATTGCTACATGCGAGCTAAAGCTACTGCGCATCAATTTGATGTCAGTAAGCTAGGGTTACATAAAACTAAGGCGGGCTGTGCTGGTGCTCTGACGAGCTGTGCTAACCTACCTTATCAAAATGTTTTACTGTAGCGCATAATTACAGGTATACTCGTACATAAAACCTTTAGGTAGGATATTTTGATAGACCAAAACTCCTAATCAAAAATACTTCGTGTTAAAACTACGAGACTGAATTTAGCTTCTTTTTTCACCAGCCTCGTTTGAATGTTCCAGTTCCACCTTAAATGGTGCAGCAGCTGTGACTAGCTATCACAAACATTAGCAAATGAGACAAAATACTGACCTGTCGGTTCTGTGAAACAGCAAAAATAAGTTAATGTTACTCAGCTGTTAAGCGGAAATAGAGAAACCTCCTCCTATCATGCCTTTCAACCCTCCATGAAGCTGAAGTCAGCTTCTTTTTCGCGACTGCTTGTTCCAATTTTCCCGTTCCCCCTTAAATGGCGGAACGGTAAAAGTTGAACAAAAAGCTGGCGAATGTTCTGAGAAAAATGTTACAAGCAGTAAAATAATAATTAGGATATTCTGAGAGCCTAAATCAGTTTATCAGGGGTGAGCAGTGATATTATGCTGAGTCTGTACTGGATTAGCCTAAGTGCAGGTACGTTTGTAGATCTTTTCAAATCAAGCAAAAAGAACAGATCTATCGTGTTTCAGTCAGCATCAGATGAGCAGAGAACTGCAGGGAAACCTGCTGATTTTGTTCTGACTTCTTTTCATCTGCCCTCAGTCTGTACATGGAAATGTACACTGACAAAACCCGCTTAAGGAGGCTGCCAGTTAAATTACGTGAATTCAGTGTGCAGTAGCTTTAGCTCACATGTAGCAATATTCATATTTCAACTTTTTAACAACCCCGTAATTCAGAGGATCCAGTGGTATTCGAGAGAAGAATGTTCACAGGACAAAACGTATCAGGTTCTGAACATTTTTATTTAACACAGGGTGTGACAGAGGCGATTTTTCGAAAACGCTATTCATTCTAGCCATAGAGAAATGGACCTTAGACCCGGACTTCCTCATCAATGGGCATAAGAGCACGGAACCGATTACAAAATGACGACACGACTAGTGGTCTATATGGCTCTTATGTTATACGTCACTGATCAGCTCTCAAGATCGGCTACGGTATCGAAATATTGGCTGATCACATATTTGGGCTAAAAATCGGCAGATACCAACACACAGCCAATCGATCCTTCCATCTCTACTTAAAAGAAAGTAAAATGGTAATGTAAAAACGAATCATGGTTGATTACAGTAATACGATTTCACTCAAGTAAGAAAAAGGTTAGAAAAAGTCACACAATTCCTTTTTTTAATAAGGATTTAATTAAAATTTGCCAAGTAATTAAAATGATTAGGTTAGCAATACTTAATGCACAATCATCACTCTTTTTGCATACAATCCCACTTGCATGGGTTTTATCCACATGAACAATGTACACAGCTGTAAGACCACTACAGTTTATTAATCCAGCTATAATATTTTATCATCTTCATCTTCTATAAACATATGGCACAGCACCATAACAATGGCACGGTAAAATTTTAGGGTACATTTAGCACCTTTATCTAGATGACCTCTATTTCCTGACCATTTTTCAAACATTTGGTAGAAAGTCCCTGAAATACTGAAATTAAAACACAAACACCTTTTTTTAAACCCCCATACAATCATAGTTACAGCATTTTGTATTTTTACAAAGCTAACCCATAACAAAAGAACGCTAGTGGATCGAATGCTAATGTCAAGTCTATTAGATTACAGTGTCCTGGGATTGTGTGGATATGTTTTCTGAGGCTCAGAGTGAACCCAGCTGCACTGGGCTATATTTGGAGCCCTGTCTGGGCGGACAGCACCATACACACATACAACAACAAACACGGGCGCAACTCAGTCACCCAGAGTCCAAACACATAGTGAAAACACCAGGACCGCAGAAACAAAGATAAAGCAGAAAATACAGTACCAGTCAAATAATCAAACACACAAACACGCACACAGGCTCAGGAGACGTTAGTGGACTGGCTGCGTTAACGTTTCGGTCAGTGCAGAAACTCGAAACTCCATCCTACGAGTCCACCGAGCTGACGTCCAGCTTCCTCTGGGGGATGTAGATGCTTGTGGGGGCTGTGGGGGTGGTCATGGTGGGCAGGGAGGAGACCGGGGTGTGGAAGAAACTGTGCTGGACAGCAGGGCCACCTTTGGGTGTGGTCAGGAGCGGCTAAAAGTAGATCAGAACAAAATCAGCCACTTAGACAACAGATGACAAAGCATTCATAAATATTTACACTTTTAAACCACAACCAGTATAGAGATAATTAGCTCTGTCAGAATGATTCTGTGTATCATATGAGCTTTATATAGCTTTACAGAGCAATTCTGTTTAAGTGAACGGCACTATACATAGTAAACTTTGCTTAACTAATCACTCCAACCCAAATATGATATTCTACAAACACTCATCCCAGGTGATCGCATGGCACATTTGGTTGGTGATCACAGCCAAGACTTATGAGCCTTTTAAGAGCCAAAGGATTTACTTTAGGATTGCTGAGGTTAAAGTTAGGAAGTCCTCACAAATATAGTAAAACAAGCGTGCATTTGGCTCACCTGCTGCAGGCTGATGAAGGTAACGGGCTGGCCGTGTAATGCTCCGTGAGGCAGTGCTCCTGCTGGAGAAACAGGTTTAACAAAGATCATGCCGTGTGGGGTCATGCCTGGGGGGATGCTGGGGCTGGGGTGGTCCGGGGCT